CTTGTGCAGTGTTACATGCAACAAACATATAAAACTGCTGTTATCACACCGCCTACTTGGGTCACAGGTCCTACAGCGGATTGAATGGACAGCCGAGAAGATCATCGGGGTGTCTTTACCCACCATCGACACCTCCTACCACTAGTGCTGCATCCACAAGGCCGACAGCATTGTGGACGATCCCTCTCACCCCTCTCATGGACTCTTCACCCTCCTGCCATCTGGCAGAACGTACAAAAGCATCCATTCCACCACCTCCAGACTCTGCAACAGCTTCTTCCCTGAGACGGATTGATTACTGGATGCACTGATGCCCCCCAACATCCACATGGACTAATCTTGACCCTGTTGAAAATGTTTGCAGTAGTTCCTCTATAACTCACAGGCTGCTTTGATACCAATCCATGTGTATATATGTATGTGTGCATATGTGATGCCCATTCGCATATATATTTTTCTATATATGTTGTTCTCTCTAGTACTTGTTGTCTTGCATATTTATTGTATATTCTGCACTAAGCTGAACTGCCACGTATCTGCACTCTATGTGGTCCTGTGTAATGCGCTGCTGTTGTGTGTTGCACCAAGGGGACCTGTAGAATGACACTTTGTTCCAATGTATACAAGTTGTGACAATGAAGACCACTTGACTTGTCTAAAGCAGGCTTAAGAGAGAGTAGTAGAACAATTAAAATGTCCGATTAATTACTACCAATTCTTCAGAAGGGATGAATTTACCTGCCAATTTTCTTAAATCAGTTGAGCGCATTTAATCGAGTAATTGTGACAGCTCAACATAAGTATTATCTATTAACAGTCTCAAAAAAGGTGAATGTAGGGTCCGCTGCAATTGAGCAGTTACATGTTTTGTGGAGGTCTCCAAAATGAAAGAAAAAAACGAATTCTTTTGCCACCGAGACACACATGACCACACAGAGGCTTTCCTCAGTTTGGACACCAGACTCCAGGCAGCGCACTTTGCTCCCCCTTTTAATAGTCTGAATCTCATCCATTCAACCTAGGAATGCTACTACTGATTATACTAGTTATCCTGTAACCTACCAGTTATTCTGATGATTAATCAAGAAATCAGAGTCTTTAAAAAAGGCCAAACAACAAAAATGGGTTTAACTGAACAATAAGGAACCATTCAGCTTCTTTCAAAAATTCAAAAATACGTAATTAATAAAAGATAAACCAAGACAGACTTTTAAAGACTACATTAAAAATAAATAAAAACACTACAAAGCCAAATAACAGAGCACTAAAGTTGCATCATCATTCTGTAGTAGAGTGTTGCTATCGTGCACATGGTTCCAAACCAGATACGTTTTTTGTCCAACGTATGTTTCCTCTGAATGTCACTGGACCTTCTAAATTGCAAGATCATTAAGGAGTCAAAATATACATTTTTCTACGTGCGAGCCAACACTGCTACACACTGAATTGACACTGTGAGACCGGCAACCTCACCAGAAAACCCCAGACAAACTAGCAAGCTTTGTCAAATGTGGTAGTTAAGTTGCTTTGGCAGGAGTAGAGCACATTAGAAGTAACTGCATTGGTATATAACACTGATGAAGTTTTATAGTGGACTTACTTTCATGTGACGTGCACATTTCAGTGCACAGCAGCGTTAGCTTGATATTAGCACGGCAGCAGCAAAGTTCATATTTCAACTCCTTAACCTCATAATTCAGAGGATCCAGTGACATTCAGTGAAAAACTGTATGTAGGACAAAGCATATCAGGTTTGGAACCTTTTTGTGTACTACAGAGCACGACAGCACCGTTTTTTTCAAAAACCACATTTTTTTTTAATCATACAGAAATCCAGCAATATTGCCATGACACCACCTACAGAATGATGCACAACTTCAGAGGGCTATGACATGTAAACAGGAGTGTCTATTAGGTTCTGTTTCTTACTGTGAAAGAGTCCAGGAAGAGAACTGCATCATCATCATCATGCAATCAGAAAACTAATCACTGCCGATTCACTGAGTGATAAAATTGAATGAATATTTTTTTTAATCAAGTAATCAAGTTTAAATCAATTAATCATGACAGCTCTAATTAGAGTGAGTAATCAGTTTTCCTTCTGTTAAGGGTTAAAGATTATATTTTCATTAGGAACATATTTTCAGCATTGCTCTCACTTATCACGCACAAGTTGTTTTTCTGTCAAAAGATGGAACAAATGGAGGACAGGGGTCACCTCACTGCATTTCCTCTCTTCCAGTTACGTGTGGCACTCAGTTCAGAAATGACAGCAAAATGGCAATCTGAGGAGGCAGGATAAACTTCCTGCACAAAAAACAATTACAGGCCACCAGACAAATCAGAAACCCTGTCCCAGTGTTTACTGATTTGATAAAAGCTGCTTGTTACTTTGAGCTGTAATTACCAGCAAGAATATAAACAAGTTCAGACAGCCGTCACGCCTCTTTAAAGAAAACAAGACCAGACAAGACCAAGTGAAAGACTAGAACAACTACAAATATCTCCAGTAAGATTTTGCCCATGTCTGCACATGTAATCAGGTGTCTTGTGTCTACCATTGATCTCTAATATCTAGTACAGGGGTCGGCAACCCAAGTGTTAAGAAGATCCATTTTGTCAAGTTTCAACAAAAATCAAACCACCTTGGGAGCCACATGTCCATTTTATCGATGTTCATCTTAAATCCTTCTCTTTGCCTTTTCGTTAGCTGTTAGCTAGGTGAGACTGTTGTCTGCGTTGCTGTGTGACCAGCAGTCTGCACACCAATCTTCAGGGTTAAAGGGTGAATTTAGTGTTAAAACTGTGTTAGAACGATCAGCAGACGTTTATTTTATTACAAAAGAAGGTTATTTTATTTTTACTTAAAAATCTAATTCTGCTGCGGAGCCGCAACAGGGCAGTAAAAGAGCCGCATTCACTCCCGAGCAGCATGTTACCAACCCCTGATCTGGTATAATGAAAGTGCTTATTTAGAAATTCAATATCCATGTGTAGTTCTGGCACTATTTGACGTTTGGCAGTCACCATTGGCCTAAAAGGCAAAATAATGCGTACACACAGGTTGTACTAGTATATGATCTGCCTTACCAGTGAAACAAACAATGAAAATTTCATTCATAGATGAGTACATGAGCCAAACAATACTTAACTCTTTCAAGCCTGAGGGCCTGTATGTGGTCTCACCATTCAATTCCTCACCCTCATAACTACGTAATCTGGATATAAGTTTCATAGAAGCTACTGGACTATTCATGGCAATTACTGCACTACTTAAGACTAATAACTTAAAAATGAACCCAAGTTTGGACAAAAGTCAGTCTTACACACCACATTGTCAGTGCCATCAAACAAACCTTAATCAATTTCTGAGACTGACCTCAGACCAATAATGCAGCCTAACTTTTCCAGCAGTAGTAATAAAAGAAAGGTTATTACATTAAAGTGCAATGAACACACTGCCTAAAGCTCTGGACATTGTTTTGCGATAGTTTTATGTTCAGGTTTTGGCCTAACACTTATTTTTTTTAAACCCTTTCATGGCGGAGAGGTGCATGAAAGGCATTGTAAGACCAAATATGACCTAAAGAAATACTTATAAAACCTCAGAAGACATGTGTAGGGTCACAGGTCGTATTGGATAGAAAATACAATGTTTGTATTCTAGACATTATGACATTGTGACCCCTGGTTCCTATCTTCACCACTGTAAAGAAACCTAAGCCAGCAAGTTTCTCTGTAACTAAGCATTTAACATCAATTTGACAGAATTCCCCTTTAAAACCACAACAAAAGTAGTTTACCATTTTGTTTACTTTCATTTTATGAGGCAGTCATATTCTCAAGGAGAGTTTCTTTCAGACATTTCAATATCCAACAACAGTGGTTCAACCAACCTCAGTGTAGAAGAATTTGCAATTTTTGCAAACAATGCATACCTTCAGAGGATGTACTTGGTTAGGAGTGTGAGACTTCCTATAGTGAGCTCTACTGTGAGCTGCCATTTTGCTGTTTCCAAAATTGCTGATTGTGTTCATGACACCCAAAGACTACGACAAGGAAGGACGTGTCTGTTTTGATGCAGCACTGGATAATGCACATACATTCTTCATTGCCTTGTGTGCAGTAAGAGGAAACCCCATTGCTCGAGTTTTGGATTTGGCTGAATGACTGACCCTTAATCAAACTCGAGCACCATAGAATATCAGAGATTTGCAAAAAAGGTAAGTAAATCAGCCGGTCAATACTACGTTTGAGGCTTCTCGCGAGGATGAAACCGAGAGCTTATTCGAATTTTCCGTTGCACCTTAAATGGTGCAGCAGTTACAGGCGCCAATGAAACTGCTGCACAATTTAAGGTGGAACGGAACATTCGAATAAGAAGAGAACTTCAGCTTCATGCTTCTCGGCAATTGCACCCTAATATAGGGGCTACAGGCAACATTACCGGCAGAAATGCGCATAAAGCATAAAACAGCACTCCTGAAAGAACAAAACAAGCGAAAACTGAACTTATCGTGACTTTTCCTGCAAGCGGTTGAGCTGCGATAAGCTTTCGAGGGAACGCAAACTGCACGTCCCTACGAAGGGCGCGGTAGACATTAAATAAAGACCCTGAATATTCTGCTTTAAACAGAAAGTTGCACTTATATATGCACCATTATATAATATTTGAGTCGTTGCTTTAGGAGAGAACACGTGGACCGACTGTATGCACTTCCACCTGTTTAGCCACCAGTCAGTGTTGCTACAACAGCAGCACGAACCGCCTCGCTGCATCGATTTACAGTGAAACACAGACAGCCTCAGACACCCGAGCCTGGACCACCACACAGGAGTTCATTAGACACATTAGCAGAGCAACTAACGCTGGTTCGTCCTCGGTTATATAATGAATTGATTTTAAACGCAGTTAGCTTGTCCACCATCTATCTGTCTGTCTGTCTGTCTGTCTGTCTGTGTGTGTGTGTGTGTGTGTGTGTCTATTTTAACTGACTGACCTGTTTTTGTCGTTCACTCACGGAGCTTCAGGATCACGACGCTGCTGGATCGTAGCGAACCTGTTAGACATGAAGTTGAGGACTTAGCTACAGAACTAAGGGTGGGCTTCTGAGTCTCCCTCTGCAGATTATCGGAGTGGTGGGTCGCTGGTGTTGACTGATCAAACTGCACCTCTCTCTCTCTCCGCCCTGGCGGTAATTACAACTTCCGCGCACAAGTCACGTGGCCTCAGCTACTAGTAAGTGTACACTGAATTAAAGGGGCACTCCGGCCAAAATTACAAATTTAACCACTGCTGCATCTGTCATAAACGTGCCTACTCGCCTCCTACAATGGTGCCACGATGTCCTCCTGGGACACTGCCTAATTCTGGACACTGTTTTTTCATCTCTCGTTTTACTTTATTTAGTTGCCCTAATAATTCCTGCTGTGCCTTAAAGAGGATATCCTGGGCTTTCCAGTGATGCTGCATGTGTTGAGGTAGGATGCTGACAAATACAGTGTGACAAGGGGGAGTCTTAACTAGTGGGTGGAACTGGATACGACTAAATTTGGGAAAAAATTTTGGAAAAATACTCCCAAAATACGTAACCTCTCTGGTTATATCTTGTATAAATAAAAATAATGCGTGGTCACGACCTAGTAAGGCGTGGGAACAAAATAATTAAGTCGTGGCCACGACTTAGTAAGGCGTTGAAACGAGATCCTAATGCGTGGCCATAGTGGACTTAGTAAGGTATGATCTCATTCCCACGCATTAATAAGGCATGGCCACATATATATATTTTTATATGACGTCACCAGCAGGGCTCCGTACCAAAAAATAAAATAAGTAAAAAAAAAATATGGTACAGAGCTCTACTGGCGACATCTCATATAAATAACAATTATCTGTAGGACATTAGTTAGGCAAGGTTATTAGTAAGGCATTGGAACAGAATCATGCCTTATTAAGCTGAAGTGTTGAAGGATTATCTCATTCCCACACTTTATTCAGTTGTGGCCACACATTAGGATCTCGTTCCCACACATTACTAAGTCGTGGCCCCGACTTAATGATCTCGTTCCCACCTAAGTTGTGGCCACACATTATTTTTATTTTTATGGGATGTCCCCTGCAGGGCTCCGTAGGGATGGTGAGAAATTCCACTTCTTGTTCCCAGAAAATGGCCTCTGTATCAACAGGCACATGTAATGGAAAGAGAAAGGGAAGGTCAATTTTTTTTTTTTTTACTATGAAATTCATATATTTGCTGCCTTTGAGGTTGTTAGAAATTGTTTAATGGGGTGTGAGAGCAGTTTATTTATGTTTGGGATTGAATAATAACCATTTTATGAATGTCCACCATAGTGGACACCAAGATGTTTAAACACTTTTTTAGGAGACAAAACAGAAGCAGGTAAAATTTTGTACAAAATGAATGAGGGAGATTCAGACTTAGATCTATCAGATTCGTCAGATGAGGAAAATGCTGAGGATGAGTTTAAACTTGTTGAAGAAGAGGTAGAGAGCATTGATGAAGAGGCAGGTAGATCAGATGAGATCACAGACACAGACCAACAGGAAAGCCGTCATCCTCTGTGGACCAGGACTAGCACGTATGTTTTAATAAAGTGCTAGGATTACCATACATAATGTTTATCCCCAGTAAAAATCTATATCAACAATGCACTGTGGGACTATAATGGAAGCACAAAGTGCACTTAGCAACAGAAAGGATGGTGAAGTAAATAACTCCTAACAATATTTCTTTGTGATCAAGGTGTTAGATTAATAATAATGCTGTTAATAAAATGTTATTACATTTTTATTCTGCTTTTCCACCATAACAGATTCACACCTGTGCTACTTAGGCCTCCTGATTATCCAGATGAAACCACAATTTGTGCAGATTGGAGTCCAATTCAGTACTTTACCCAATACATTGACGGCAAGGTCTTTGAAGACTTGGCAACATCAAATCAATGGGAACTGCAGACTTTCTCTGAATACCACTCCACAGGAAAGGAAGGTCTTCTTCGGCATATCAGTTCACAGTGCCTGCCTTGGTTATCCCAGAATCAAGATGTTCTGGACCAATAAACAAGGTGCCAATTAAAAGCAACAAAATGACAAAAGACAGGTTGTTCAAGTGGAGAAACTCACTGGAAATTGTCAATGACCTTAATGTGACTGAGGAAACAACTCTTTGACAGAGTGAAGCTGCCTTAGCTTTCCAAAACCAGTAAATCATTCCTTTCACTCGCTGCCCAATCTGACGGTCTGTTCCAGGCAAGCCATACCCAACTGGCTTGAAGGTATCTGTCCTGTGCTGGACTTTGAAATGTTCCAAGGAAAGAATATATTTGATGGCCAAAAATCAGGCATAGGGGCAGCAGCGGTCCTACATATGCTTGAATCTGTTCCTACAGGAAGTCAGCTGTTCTTTGATCAGTACTTCTCATCAGTCAACCTCATTGACGCTTTGCTGGAAAAAGGGCTTTCCAGCTGCTCGAACCATAGTGAAGAACAGTGTGCCAAAGTCATCTCTGCTAACTGGTGGCAAACAATTGTAAAAAAAAAAATAATAAGGGAGAAGAACATCAATGGTGGTGGCCAGAGATAGTCCTGAGCCAGCTATCACAAAATGGTATGACAACAAGCCAGTGCCAACGGCCTCTAGCATACATGGGAAAGATCCTGAAGATGTTCGTACAAGATGGTCCAACAAAGACAAAGCACACATACAAGTGAGAAGACCAGCAGTTATCAAAGAGTACAATGACAACATGAGTGGTGTGGATTTATGTGACTGAATATTGAGCTTTTACAGAATGTCAAGCAGGACCAAAAAAATGGACTACACAAGTGATAGGTCACTTTATTTGATGCTGCCATCACAAAGTCCTGGATCCAGTACAAGCCTGAGAGAAAGAAAAATAATAAATAAGATATCATTATTATTATTACAACTTGTTAAGTTTCACTGTTTAAAATTAAAATCGTCCTGCAGTCCAGAAAAGTGAGAATTGCTATAAAAATTTAAATAATACTTAAAGAGTCTAACTTGTAATACATTTTATATATTCCTAAAAGATAGCAAATCACAAACAAAAGCTAAATTGCAAGACACCTTTTCCTTGGTTCTCACAGAGACTGAAATAATTTAAAGACTGGGTATGATGATGTATCTTGGAGATGGGAGGACATTCATTCACTAGAGAAAAAACAGTGATGGACAAAAAACGCAAGGATACAAAATTGTAGGCCAGAATGTCCCTTTAACTCTCTAAAATGTGAGAGTTACCCTTCTCGGATAAAACAGCGTCGACCAGCACGTGTTGTGTTTTGGATGCTGTTCAGCAGCAATGGGAGCAGTTATGCTGATCTCCACCAAAGCAGCGGTCAGCAGGCAGTGTTGTGATTTGATATCACTGCCCTAAAGCCGAGCTTCACATTAACTACATTCGCGTTGTGAAATGTGGGTCCAGAGCCCAGATGACCACACTGAGGATTGGTGCGGAGAAAAGCAGGAGGGAGAAACACGTTGAGGAACCAAGACTCGAAACGGGAACCCATTTTCCTGGGCGAGGCTGCATAGTGGTATTATTTGCATGACAAAGCCGAATTTGCATTAGGCAACGACAGAACTTCTGCTTTTCTCTTCTGGACGTGCATCGTTTGTAAAATCTTTTGTGTCCGCCCGGCAGGGTGGATGTGAACCGCGCCGGACTCTGGAAAATGAGAGAGTGGAAGGTGAGAATATAACAGCCCGGCTAGCTCAGTCGGTAGAGCATGAGACTCTTAATCTCAGGGTCGTGGGTTCGAGCCCCACGTTGGGCGGTTGCAACTCTTTTTCATAGTCCACAAGGGGGCGTTCAGACACAACACTCCTCACAGTGCACGCTATCGGACATGGATTAAATGCGAACGGTGAAGCACCGTTAAAAAATCTTTTCACTGTGGATCTGGGAAACTGGCCCTATATGTTTCTTCTGAAGTCAAGGCTATTAATAGGGAGATTGCCCCCCTTTACTTCTGTAACAGCCTCTGCTCTTCCGACAAGAGCATTAAGGAGGTCATGTACTAATGATGGATGATTAGTCCTGGATCACTTTAATTCATTTCAACACAGTTCCACTGCTCCACAGCCCAATGCTGGGGAGGTTTATGCCCCCTAAGCAGCCAAAGGCTCACATGTGGCTGTTTGAAAACGATCTGCAATCGTTTTCTGAAGAGATTATACATTCTGTGTGTGCACAATTGAACTCTGTCAGCAAGTGGTGGGCCTTAAAGTAGCCAAATTGACCCTTCAGAATGAGGGTCAGGACACTTTTGGAAATGTATACCCAAACGACACCCAAATGGTTTGGAATTTTTGGGTTTTGGATTGCACATTAAGTCATTATATAAACCATAAGCATAGTCGCAGGAACATGTCCGCTTTTATGTTTGGAAATGCTTGTGAAATGTGCATACTCGCTGCTCCACCATTCGTCTGTATCTCATTTCTAGCTTAATCCTGAGTCTTTTATATTGCCTTTAAATCTCAATCTTCACTTATTGGGACAGACAAATGCACATACATTTAAACATATGACAAATAAAAGAAAACTGTGTAACTTGAGGGCCAAGTATCTTCATAGTTCAAGTAGCCTTTACAGCATTTAATAATACTGTTATTTCAGCTGACCACCATTTTCTGTATTTTCTTGCAAGTTTATTAACAATCATTTTTTCTGAGAAACATGTTCCAGCAAACCTATTACCTTTTAGGGCCTGTAGATGGAGCTATTTAACCTGAAAGCCTGTTCTTCCACTGTCAGGGTCTCAGACCATCATGCATCCAGTTGGTGAGGTCCAAAAGGTGAGTTTCTCCACTGATATTTAGAAAGAAATGACTGCTGTTTTTTGTTGACTTTTCTTTTTACATAGTAGCACTTCTTTTACCTCATAGTAGTCCCACAGTGCCTAATAATATTTGCTGCTGCTGCTGCTTTTCTATTTCTAACACCCCTCTGATTCGGTTGCTACTTGTATTCACAGTCAGTGATGTATCTAGGTCTTCCAGACTAGGTCTAGGAACACCTAGGATTTTGTTACGAAATTGGCCTTGCTTATTGGAAATCAATACATGAGTGGTTGACTCCTCTGTCACTTCATAATTAGGCTGGTGGTTAATCAAATGCATCAGGCCTTCTCTTCAGGCCCTAAAGTTCTAACCAAGAGGAGATTATAGTTATATCTATATATCTTATATCTTAGTTATATCGACCCAGATATGGAGAAAAACAATTCCTATTAGATCATTTTCTTCTGAGTGTTTGAAGAATTTAGCTCTTGTTTCCATCCAAAACTTAACTAGTACTGTAATACATGCAGAGTTTAAATACAAACATGATTCTACTGAATAAAAGTGAACTAAAAATTACAGGCATGGTGCACACATGGGGTCACATCTTGAGTATCTAAAGCTAAGCTAACAGAAACTTTTCACTGCTGTTGTGAAATAAGCTAACTGCAGTTGATGTTGTTAGGTTTGAGAAGCTGAAGCTTGGTCAGGAACTCTGCCTAGAGGGTTAAGGGCATTTTGAGACAAACCCTAGATCTGTTTTCAAAACAAAGTTTGTTCCTGATTGGGCTTGTTTACTAGATGATGAGTCGAGTCTTGTGTGTAGGGAACAGAGTAAACGCTAGAACATGCACGTCTGGACCCTGATAGGAAAACACTCTCCTAGTTAGTGATAGCAGAAACAGTCACAAATGATTCTATGTGGACCCTTGTACTCAAGGCAGAGGTTTCAAAGCAGTTCAAAGCTCACATTCTCTCAATGTCGTCACATCCTAGATGTAGTTCACACCATTCAGATTTACCTGAACTGCTGATTCTTTTGGAAACAAATATAGATTGTGTGCGTCTTATTCCTGTGTATAACTGAAAGAGAACTGTTAGCAACATGGTTATTATTCTTCTTCTTCTTTTTATTATTATTATTATTATTGAGTGCCATTAACACGGCTCTGACTCTTCAGAATGTTCCGTCTTCTGCTTGGGTTTGATTTGGTTGTCTCCATCCATCTTGTTATTGGTTGGCCATTTCCTCTTTTACTTCAACTCTTCCAAGCTGTCTTTTTCAGTCAACTGGCTTTTCTGATAATATGTTCAAAATAGAGCTTCAGTTTGGTTACCTGCGCTTCAAGTGAGAGGTGAGGCTTGATTTAATCAATAGTCCATTTGTTTCTTTGCCATGCAAGGCACGTTCAAAAGCCTTCTTCAGCACCAAAGTCCAAAGGCATCAATATTTTTCCTGTCCTAATTTTTACTGTCCAGCTTTCACATCCATGAAGAAGCACAGAAAAGACCACAGTCGGGTCAATCTTTGTTTGCAGAGACACGTCATTTCATTTGAAGATCTATTCAAGCTCCTTCATTTTGTTCTGCCGAGTGCCAATCTGTCATATTTCTTGACTGCTGGAGTAAAAGCTGGCCGCCACTTCTACATCTTCAATATCAGTGATAAAATTATCAGTCTTTCGTTTTGTCATAACCATGGATTTCTTCATATTGAGCTGAAGCCCCATCTTTTTCACTGTTCTTTAACTTTCCTTATGAGGTCCTTCAGTTCTTCCTGACTTTCCACTAATTGTCGTCATCCACATCCACTTGGAGGTTACTGACGTTTCTTCCAAAAATCTTCAATCCCCAGTCATCTTCCTCCAGTCCTGCTTCTCTTATTACATGTTCAGCAGACACGCTGAATAGGTATGGTGATGGTGGTGATTGCCTCGTTTGCCGATGTGGATCTAGTCTGTTTGTCTTGCTGAACAGTGTGGAGGTTCCACATTGGAACAATGAGATGTTCTTGTTAACGCGTTTTCTGAGGACATTCCTGGCATAATGGCATATATAAATAAGCTAGATTTAGCAGGAATTATTGTTTTTGTGCCTCAATAAAACACTGAGCAAGTTTATGAGGGTGCACAGAAAACATGAATATGTAGTACCAACCAGTGAAGTGAGCTGTCAGTTCAAACTACATATATATATATATATATATATATATATATATATATTTACACGGTTTGCAGCACAACTTTTAGCAAAGCAAAAGGCTTTTTGATGTGCACCAATGTCTGTCTACCATTACTGAAATGCGTTCTTACAGCAAATAAATTAGGAAACGTCAATGAGTTCTTAACGATTTAATCTAATATTCACTTCCACTGTTCAAACCTCACATCCAATCCTATTACAAATACTACTATGAAATCTGTTTTTTACCAGCTCATCAGGGGAGAGCGCGAACGCAGTCCCCCACTACCACAAATTATGCAGTCGAGATTCCCACATTTGAGGAATTCGCAAAGGTCAGCACGGCCTACAGTGCAATGGCCGAGCCTCGCCTTGGGTGAACCACCTTCTTGATCATGGTGTCTCCCCTGCCAGGTAAGTATGAATAACATACCACTTGGGGAGCGGAGCCACCACTGACAGCACGATACACGGAGACGGTGACCGCTCCGTTAATTTCAGAAACAAGAAATAAAACCTAGAAAAACATTACAAACACTGCGCTGCTCACAGTACAGCGTTCGTGCCTGATTATGTTTGTTTTCCTGCAAGAAAAGCGCAGTACGGCGCTTCCCATGATGCACTGCGCGCTGAATATTTAACAAACTGCTCAAACGCGCGGTTTACATTTTAAAATCGGGAAGGTTTACAGCTTTACTCGAGGTGCAGCGGCATCATGTTAAAAAATACAAAGCTGCGGAACATCCGTCTACTTTAGAAAGACAATGGGTCCAGAGTCAGTTTAAGGGGGGCTCCGCCACTTTCTGTTCCTCCGGTTATGCCAGAAGCATGACTGTGAAACGCTGGAGGGCGAAAACGAGAGAGAATGAGGGTGAAAGAGGCTAAACGGCGAAAAATGTAAATGTAATATTTTTCTATTGTTTCATGCAAATTTGTGCTCTAACTTTGTCATTTTGTATGAGTTATCTGTTTAATCACATTCTCTTATTTATCTATTTTTAATCTATTTTCGTTTATTTCATTGTTTGCTATCCTCTACTTCTCCCTGCCTTCACTTCACTAAAACTTATTGTTACTGTGCGCAAAGATTTAATTAAAAAGAGCAAAAATCTGTAGGTGGAAACATTTAAAATAAGACAGCAGTGTTGAAATATTTAAGACACCCTGAGTGTTTTTACCTGAGTAATAAAGAAAAGACAAATTTCAACAAAAGCTTTTGTTTATAAGCACATCTTTTTACCCATCCTGCCAAAAGTCATAGGACGGTGGGGTTTTCTTCAGTCAGATTAAGCCTTGTTGATGAGCACAACATTTACAAGCGTAGAGCCAAAAAAAAGCCACGTGTTTGCTCAGAGAACTGCGTTCACTCTGTTTTTGTTTCCCGTCAGCAGATTCAACACGAACTCAGACACTTCAGAAAACACGAGAGGCGCTCTGACCAGCCTGTCTGTACTGACAGCCTCGGTTTGTGAGGTCGGGAACAACACACAGACAACAACGTCATAAGAAAATAAAATGACAAATTTTAATACAGTGATATGTTCTCTTCATGAGTTACCTTTAAGAATCAGAATCACTTTATTTCGCCATGTTACAAAACCCGGAGTTTGTCTTGGGTGAGTCACACATGTATGACATGTAACACACTGAACAGACCAGACAAGCACACAGACTCTTAACAAGTATTTAACTAAGGGGAAAAAATATAATAAAAAAGAGTAATAAAGGTGTGATGTGAAAGGAGCAAAAGAGATGTGTGAATATCTGTACATGCGCAGATATGAACATCTGTACATATGTAGGTTTGAGTAGAGAAATAATAACTATTATGTACAGAATATTACAGAATGATATGAACATTTGTAAAATTAACATTGTGCTATAGGTTATGATATATTAACAGCATTATGCCAAAGAAGGAGTCATCCTGCAATACAGTAAGGGAGGTTTTATAGAAAAAGTTTTCTAGGTGTCTTTTAGGTTTATTTCATTGTTTCTGTTTACTGTTTTTCTTCCAGGTACACTTTAGGCCTGTTTAAACTCTATTGATGCTTTGATCCAACAGTGCGCTGACAAATGTCTCTGTTATTGTTCCTGTATGTAAAGATTTTATTTCAAAAAAATCTGGAGTGGGAAATGTTTAAGACAGCAGTGAGTGTGTTTACTCAATAATCCAATCATAATCAGATTTCTGCAGTTATATGATTATTCAAATGATAATGTACACAGCATACTCTGATTTCTTAGATCAGATTAAGATCTAGAAATCCGATTAAGAGGGCTGAATTTTTAGCTCAGTAATCGGATTTCTCAGTGCAACTCTTACTCATATATATGTATATATATATATATATATATATATATATATATATATATATCTATCTCAGTCTGCACATGTGCAAAAACAGAAAATAGGCTGACGCTAAAACTGATTACACTCTTGACAAAATGAAGCATTTAAAATTTCTTCATCTTCTAGAGGATGTATGTTCATATTTTCAAGTGGCGCTGCTTTTAAAAAAAAAAGCTGCAGCATGAAGTTTGAGTTTTACATTATGTTTACGTCACGTCTTCTTCTTTGAGTTTATTGGTGGGTAACAGACTGACTCATGTAAACCAAGAGTTTCCCAGTATCTGATTACTCAAGTGCGTGTAAACATGTTGATTGGATTACTGACAAAATCTTTTCTGCAGTAGTCCTATTATTAAGAGCATGTAAACACACTCATTGTTGAAATGCTATTCTGTGTCAAGAGAGCGAGTGCATTTGCCCAAGTAATAAAAAAAAAAATAACAAAACCTCCTTGTTTATAAGCACAATGTTTACTCTTCCTGCCAAAAGTCATAGGACGGTGTTTTTTAAAAATAATAATTCTTGTTTGTAGCCACAACATTTACAAAAGACCCAAAAAAGCCACGTGTTTGCTCAGAGAACTGAGGCTTCACTCACTTTTTGTTTTGCATCTGCAGATTCAACACAGACTCAGACACTTCAGAAAACACAAGAGGCGCTCTGACCAGCCTGTCTGTACTGACAGCCTCATTTTATGAGGTCAGGAACAACACACGATTAAAGATTACAAATAATGTTTTGGTTTAATAAATGTTAAAATAACAAAAATTCATGTTGTTGCTGTTTTCTGGTATTGGGTTATAGCCAGTTTGATGTGCAGTGTCATTAGAAAATAAAATTACGCATTTTAATACAGTAATATATTCTCCTCATAAGTTAAGCTTTCATAGAAAAGTCGACAGCCTGTAGTGCTGGTTTAAGGGTGTTATGGCTGTTTACAGGAGGTTGTAGTCACAGCATAACTGTGTTTGAGGACTCACTGATCTCCCTTCAGCAGCGAGCGGACACAACAACTTCACACGGAGCCTAACGATACTGCCCAACAATTACATTACCAGATAAACAAAGGTCTCTTTTCCACCACAGGGCTGAAGGGCTCTGAGCATGAAGGGTTCCCTTTCCAGTGGCGTTTCCACACAAACACAGTTCGACACAGAACACTTAGCTCATTTTTTTTCAGTTAGCTAACTGTACTCTGGGCCACAGAACCGCTTGGTGGGATGGCGTAATGACGTAGCTATTCACTGTTTGGTTCTATGTTTGTGTGTTATTTCAAACCTGAAAACAATCAAATAAGTTTGCGCAAATAAATGAAAACAGTGCACAATTTTAAATCCACTATTCAAAAACATCAATGCTTTAATCTACTGCCAATTTCTAAATAGTAAATGGCGCTGATAACCAGAGAGAGTAACTGGTAAGCATTAGCTTTGCTAGCATGCTGCCAGCTCTGTTCACTACAGAACAGCAGCCAGTTGCACCAGCTGAACATAAGTTCCATTGTAGCCTAGCTTGAATGTAAACTAGTTTACAAGCTACTAGAATTTAACTGGTTACACCAAGTGACAGTTTCAATGTAGCTTTAAGTTATAACTTAAAATTTACACACACCCTATAGTAGGTGTAAATTCTGCCATAAAAATCAGTTTAAATGGCTGGTCAATTTGATCGATGGGAAACAAAATCAAAATATGCCTCGATTTGCATCGGCAACCATCTCTGCAAAATAGATTACACAAGTCAAAAAGTCAAAATTTATTTGTATAGCGCTTTTTACACAAAGCAGCTTCACAGAAATCCATTAAGGACAAAGTTTTAACATGAAATGTAAATCCTCCAGGTGAGCAAGCCAGTGGCAACAGTGGCAAGGAAAAACTCCCTCAGCTGGGGAAGAAACCCTGGGAGGAACCAAGGCTCACAAGGGGGGACCCATCCTCCTCTGGTCAAACTACCTACAAAATTATTATACTACTAATATTAATAGTAGTAGTAGTAGTAGTAGTAGTAGTAATAATAGTTAGGAGTCCATGAAAACTTCAGTGTAGGGTGGGCAGCTAGTCCAAGGCAGGTGGCGGTAGCTGGGTAAGTGGCAGTGACTGGGGCGTGGGCAGCTGGTCTGAAGCAGGTAGCAGGAGAGCTCAACAGACAATCATCCATCAGTGTCTGGCCGGACAGGTGGGCAGTCGTTTACGTTGTGTTTTCGTCCAACAAAGACAGAAAAGATCACAGAACTCCTAGCCACAGATTTACACAACACACACAAGAACAGAGCCCTGAGTCCTACTTTGTGTCTGGCAATGAGATATCTTGCTACAGGGTCATTCCAAAACCTGGTGGGCGACTCTATTCAAGCACACCAGTCAACTGCACACAGAGGAATAAGAGCAGCTCCATCAGTGCTCAGGCTGTGTGTAACGCTGACCTGTTAACATACAATACACAACACAGATTATTTTTAAAAAATAACTAACATAACTGACATTACCTTTTTGTCATTCAGCAAATTCAAATAGCGATTACATTTGACGCAGCTTTTCTAACATTAACCGATCATTGATAAAGTGCTGTTACAATATTGTGCACGAGAAACCAGTTTAAACGTTATAAAAATCCATACACATAGAAGAGATGGGCACTTTGAAAACACCACTTTATTGTAAAACAGTCTCTTTTTGACTTATAGCTAATACAACCGACACACCTTAAACAAAGTAAATGAGCCTCAAAAAGAGACAAACTAGCAATTTCACTAGTGTGGAGATCATGCCTGTAATGTTTCGGTTTTATGTCAGTGTTACTGATTGGCTGCAGAGAGTGAAAATGTAATTCTGTACGACAATATTTTGATCTACAATCACATTATGCACTACGAGTTAAGATGTACTGTAAGTGTCTGTCGTGCAGCCGAATTCTGAGTCTCTAGTTCTAAACTAACTACACTTAATATAAGGTTTAGGATGGGCTTTACACCCCAACTTACAATCAAACTTTTTTCCGTTCAGCTGGTGCAACTGGTTGCAGGGTCGATTCTGACTTACAAAAGCTTTACTGACACAAATTAAGATGATAGCGACTCAGCTCTAAGGATGTGAAGTCGAGTGGCTGATGTAAGATGGACAGAAAACCAATATTAAACCTGTTCTCTGGTGTCTGGAACTGGAGCCAGAGAACTTGTAAAAGAGGAAATTACCACTCTGAATGTCTTCTGGGTTCCTCAAACTCTAGAGGGCGCTCCCAAGCGAGTCCCAGATGAATGGGTTAAGATGGAGCATTTGAGCAAAATGATAGTTTATAAATGCTCAAACATTTTAATGTAAAAGAATGCATTCATTTTGTGAACACAGAATAGCATAAAACATTTTAACACATTATATTATTAACAGCTTTTGAACTCGAGTTATAGGAATTTAAAGTCGAACAGCCAATGAGCTGCTCCGCTCGCCAACCAATCAAAGCGTTCAGTAGCAGTAATGTTAGCGTCCTGCTGCCCAAAATTCATTTGCTGTAGAAACGGAAACATATAGGTAAGTTTTCTTTGCTTTTTTAGTCAAACGCATTCTTCTACTTTCTAAAATTAAAGGAAAGTTCTGGGCAAGTGTTGAGAAACTATTTAACCTTTTCATTGTTAGCTGTTTAGCTCAATTCACCCCCAGTCATTGAGGACTCACTCGCGGGCACCCTCTGGCGTTTCGCAGTCATGTTTTTGATATAATGGGGGAAATAGGCAGAGGCCAGTGTCCTCATATACTGCCTCTGCTGGAGCCTCCTAGCTAAGCTAATGCTAACTGTCTCTCTCTCCTAGTTAAATTAGCATTGCTGAACTGATCCAAACACCCCATTGCAGGTTCGAATTGACTAACTGGTGCTCTGGTATGACAAGTATAAATGGTAAAAACGTACAACAGCTAACTGCAGCAAAGTCGCCTGATTAACAGTGGAGTGGCAAAAAGCCTAAGTTAGATCAAACCTGTTTTGTAGTGCATTCAGCGGTAGCCCGCTAGGCTAAGCTAACGCGAGTGCACGGTGCCCACCACTGCAGTACGGGCTCGGTTCTGGCGAACATTACCCATTTAGAGGATAAAGACTGGTATCTGAGAGCACAAGTTCGAATGACTGGTGTTGAAATGACAAAAAAATAAAAATATAATTGTTCTGTGGAGCTCTACTCTGCTGGGCAATGCTAATGTAGCTAGATGTCCGGGTACAGGTAAAACCCACCGCAGTACAGGCTGTTTCAGTAACAGCTCAACACCCGTTTGGAGGATAAAGAAGATGAGAGCACGCCGAGAGACTGGAGCTGGAGCGACAGACAGAATTAAACGCGTTGTCTGGTGGGTGTATGGCTTTCAGCCTGTTAGCAGTTAGCTACTCACTCGTTTGTGTAGTTTTCTTGGGTAACATTAGGTCCTGATTCCGATTTAGTGGTACAACAGACCAGAAAAGAATCTATAACCGGTATCATGAGTCCAATCTAGCCTGTAAAAGTTCAATACAACTCTTAAAATTACGGGGCTTAACATAAAACCATTAAAATTTTTCACTCTCTTAAAACGAAACCACTTTCTCTGTTTTTAACCAGTGAGAAGGGGGTGCACCGTTCCCGGAAGTACTGCAATACCAGGTCGATGCGTGGAGCGGACGGAGCAAGCTCCTCTTCCGTCTCCCTGTTCTAAAAATCAATTTAATATGTAGTCCTCATATAGAGGACGTATCAGATATTAAACTGATAAGAACAGATTTTTTCTTTTGAAAGTATTTTATTGTCACCATTCTTATAATTCATACACATACAATTGCATTCCTCACATGAACATAAAAATCTCACATAAAACACACAGTTTTCATATTTTACATGTTGACCATTTCATTGATAAAACACCTTTTAAAAACACTCACGCATAAAAGAACAATAAATAAATAAACTTTGTTTCTTTAAAAGGTTTTCTCAATGATTTTCTAAAAGATTTTTCTCAAAAAGTGTGTGTTTAAAAGTTCATGTAAAAAACACTGTGTAGGTTTAAAAAACATGCAACATATAAAACACCATACTTATTAAAAGCCAATAAATACATTAAAAGGCGTATAAAATGCAATTAAAAGGGTCTCCGTTGTCCAGGACCGGGGTGAGCCTCTATCAAGCTGGCACCACCCTGATCCCCAGAAGTCGCCAGGCTGCTGATTATCTGTTCCAGCGGAGATCCTCTCTCCATGCCCGCTGCTCCACCCTTTGTGGTGTCACATTCTCTTTGGGGGGGCATCTACGGGAGCCAGGGACCGTGGTGGTCTGGACCCCCCTGCGTGCGGCCCCGGCCCCCTCCTCCGAATGGCGGCGCTCGGTGCCCCCTGCAGCGAGGATGTTACCAGCTCATAAATAGCATGCAGTGGCACCGTCACGCGCTTTCCCACCAGCAGGTTGCGGGCGGTCCACAAGGCGGAATTCTTCTGCTGGTAACTTTTCGGTGCCCTGGCCCACCCCGTTCACCGCTAGTCGGTAAACCAGCGGGTGGACCGCCCCTGCCGGCAGGCTCGGGCATTGCAGGGGGCCGATCATGCCCCACAGGTCCCTCGCCACGCTGCACTCCCAGAGCGCATGCCGCACGGTCTCGGGTTCGCCACACCCGGGCCGCGGGCAGATCGGGTTTGTCCCCATGCCCCGGGAGTGCATCACGGCCCTGACCGGGAGGATCTCATGGGCAGCCAACCAGCACAGGTCTTTGTGCTTGTTCTGGAGAGCAGGGTGGGCTGCGTTCTTCCAAACTTGTTTGGCCTCACTTAGTGTGAGGCCGGGAACGGGGCTCACTTCTTCCCGGTCCTGTACAAGAGAGACCATAGACTTTGCATTAGTTAAAATGGTGACATTTTCTTTTTCTAAAAAATATTTCCTTAAAAATTTCTTAATAAAACCATATTCTGGTGGCAGGGTAAAAGACACGGGGGTTCTAAGATCTGGGGTTAAAATGCGTAAACTTTGCAGGTAAGACCCCATCCAGAACCTCGCCATGGCTGCCGTCTTGTTGTCTCTGGATGGGGTCATTGCATACTGCACGTGCAGGGCGATGAACTTGCTTCCTAAAAACAGGTGGGGGTCTGGGAGCCCCTTCCCTCCATTTTCTGGCCTCTTCTTTACCACCTCCCGTCGCAGACGCTCCCATTTGGACCCCCACAGGAAGTAAAACACCGCCCTCTCTAGATCTAAAAGAAAAAAACGTGGAGGACTAAAAACAGAACAAAGGAGTAAAAGCAAGGGTAAAACAACAGCTTTTATTATTAAAATCTTGCCCTCCATTGTCATCTGTCGCAGTCCCCAAAACCCCAGTCTTTGCTTCACTTTCCCTATCATGTCAGTCCAGTTGCCCCGTCCACCACCCTCCTCGTCAAATTTGATCCCTAAAATCCTCATGTCTTTCTCTTTAAAATCCAAGTCCAGGTTCGTCTGTATGTGCCCCCATGGCCCAAAGAGCTGGGCCTCGGACTTGCTCCTATTGAGCTTAGCGCCCGAGGCCCTTCCATACCAGTCAGTCAAGTCCAGTGCTCTTTGGGCCGATAAAACGTCCGAACATAAAAGAGTGACGTCGTCCATGTACAAAGAACAGGTCGCCGTCAGTCCACCTGGCAAGTCTAGTCCTTTGATCCATTTATCCTTTCTCAATATCTGCGCCAGCGGCTCGATGCAAGCAACGAACAGGAGGGGAGATAAAGAACACCCCTGACGGACGCCAGAGCGAATATTTATCGCTTTTGTGAGGTGCCCATTTACCATAATTCTGCTGCTGATGTCCCGATACAGCAGCCCCACCCATTCTATAAACCTCCCTGGGAATCCCATCTTTTGCAGAACCTGAAACAGGAACTGGTGCGAGACCCGATCAAAGGCTTTCTCAAAATCTAAATTTAGTACTAAAAGCCGAATATTTCTGTCTCTCGCAAAACAGATGGCGTCTCGGATCAGCACTAGGCTGTCCGTGATCTTCCTTCCAGGAACGGCGCAGGTTTGATCCGGGTGGATCACGTCCTCTAAAACCGTCGACATTCGTCTTGATAAAACTTTGCTAAAAAGTTTACAATCCACGTTTAAAAGAGTAATTGGTCTCCAGTTTCTTATGTCAGTCTTGTCCCCTTTCTTATGCAGCAAAGAAACTATCCCTATTCTAAAACTGTCCGGGAGTCTGTCAAGTCTTTCAAATTCTTTAAAAACAGTCAGTATGTCATTTGATAAAATGTCCCAGAAGGTGTCATAAAATTCCGCGGGGAGTCCATCCTCTCCCGGGGATTTGCCCCTTTTAAAACCTTTGAGACACTTTTGAATTTCTAAAACTGTAAAATCATCTGTTAAAGCAACATGACTGTTTATTTTTTTATCTATAAAATTTAAGACTTCATTCATCGTTCCTTTATGCACATCTTTTTCCCCATATAAATTCCTGTAAAATTCTTCTACTATGTTTAAAATTTCTTTGTTATTTTCTCCCTCCCTGTCTTCTTCCTTTAACTTTGATATTTTCCCACCCCTTGTTAAAATTTTCTTAAAAAAATATCTTGTGCATTTTTCTCCCTCTTCAACTTCTTGTTCTTTGCTCCTTAAAATGATCCCTTTACTTCTTATTGCTGATAAAACGGACATTTCTCTTTTAACTTGTTTAATTTCTTCATTAAAATAAAGACCTTGGTTTAAAAGGTTAAAACAGGTTTAACAGTTTCTGATATTGAGTTATATCCAGTTTCATAAGCAGCGTCATTAGAAAATAAAATTACTAATTTTAATACAGTGATATGTTCTCCTCATCAGTTACCTTTAAGAATCAGAATCACTTTATTTCACTAAGTATGTTACACAAACACAGTTTCGTCCAACGTGGTTCAAATGACTTCTGCTCTAATTTGGCATTTTTGTATAAATAATCTACTTTATTATACCTTCATTTCCTTTCTTTTATTAATTTTCTTTATTTAGGTTTATTTTATTGTTTCTGTTCACTAGTTTTCTTCCTGAATTCCCATTTGGCCAGTTTGAACTCTACTGATGCTTTGATCCAACAGTGCTTTGACTGATGTCTCTGTTATTAATCCTGCATGTAAAGATTTTATTTGAAAATAAAATAAAATATGGAGAGGGAAGTGTTTAAAAATAAGACTACTGTATGTTCAGAGAGCGAGTGCATTTGCCTTATTGATAATCACAACATTTAGTCTTCCTGCTCAAAGTCATATGACTGTGTTTCGTTTTCTTGTTTTTTTAGAAGCAAGTTCTTGTTTATAAGCACAACATTTACAAGACTCGATCTAAGCTTGTTCAGAAAATTAAAGGCATTCACTTTTTGTTTCCATACGCAATTTCAATACGAACACAAACAATACTATAACCGATAAACAACCCAACGCTTAACCACTTTCTCTGCTTTTAACCAGTGAGAAGGGGGTGCACCGTTCCCGGAAGTACTGCAATACCGGGTCGATGCGTGGAGTGGACGGAGCAAGCCCCTATTCCATCTCCCTGCTCCAAAAATCAATTTAATATATGGTCCCCGGGTAGGGGACGTATCAGATATTAAACTGATAAGAACAGATACTACACTTGATCTTAGCCAAAAGGCCGAGAAGCGATACCGGTGGAAGCTCAGAACAGGCGGGTCATTCTTCCACAAATATAAGACGAGGATGGTGAGCAGAGCTGCTGTCCGCCATCGACAACTTACAGCACGGAATATAATCAAGTCAAACCGCTTCTGTTCAACTCCGAGAGCCAGAAAAGGCACTTTAAACGCTTCTCTACGTCAACACGTCAAAGACGGCGCATGTTAATGAGCTCACCGGCTGGCCAATCAGAAACGAGGATACTCGGTTTTGCGCGCACAGAGTTTACAGAGGAGAAACATATACACACACACACACATATATATATATATATATGAGAGTGAGAGAGCTGAAAGCTGCCTGATCCATGTTCACAAAGTCCTTAACATTATAAAGCGGTGTCTGAGTGGCTAATCTGTAGCTCATGTGGATCACCATGCCAGTCAGTTCTGCCAGTATATCAGTGAGGCTAAGAGCTACAGATCAGACAGAATCAAGAAACACAGACAGGAAAGCACGTTTAACTACAGAAACGGGACGCGGCCCAAGACCAACATCTCTTATCATCCCTCCTTGTCCACTTGCACCGTTAGCCTTAGCTGTTAGCTATTTTTGCACGCATTTAAAGCTGGACAGATCCCGGACACAATAATACATTCAAAAATATTAAGAGTGCCCTGTAATTCAGACACAAAAGAAGTTCACAGACACACATTCTCACCTTCAAAAGCATAGAAGACCCTTAGCAGTGTAGCTAACAAACAGCTAGCAGTGATGAAGGCAGGGCCTTTTAAAAACCATCAGCAGAAAACTTGTTTCAGTTGACCAATGAGCTCCATAGCTGTCTCTCTCCTTACCTGAGCTTATTCCCTCAGCGTTAACTTGATAGTTTAGGCCCCATGTGTCAAAGACAAGGCCCGCAGAGCCAAGTCAGGCCCGTGACACGGTCCTATTCAGCCTGCGAAATTATTAAAATTTCCTATACTTATTGGCCCCTTTCACCCTGAGATGCACTACAGTCCCCAGCATGCACTGCAACATAGTGTGCGTTCTGGCCCCCTTCCCCCAACAACAATCTGTGGGCCAGCAGTTACCTAAAAAGAAAAGAGGCCGGGTGTCTAGTTCAAGAAAACAGGCAGTTCAAAGAGGACACCTAAAACAATGTATTTTTTATTTAGAATTGTTCTTGAATAAGTATTCAATGCCTTTTTTTTCTGTTGTAGTTTTGGCATATTTTGAATAAACAATGGTCCGTTGGGGTCGTGGCAAAATGTCAAGTAAACATGAAATAAAAACACAGCTGGCCCACTTATTTGCTGAGATTTTTAAATATGGCCCTTTCAGAGGCTGAGTTTGACACCCCTGGTTTAGGTGTTGTACGAATATGTTTTAGACACCTCCAATAAGCTGTCATAGTGGCTAAATGGTACCACCAGCTTTCCTAGCACAGCTGACGCAATGGTGCAGGGATACCTACTGCTTGAAGGAGTTTCTGTGTGTGGGCCAGGGCAGTGGCCTGGTTCAGCAGCTCCTGTGGAGGTTTGGTGAAGACCATTTTTTTTTCTCCCAATAGTAACAGGCCTCTTTGGTCACCACCAGTACAGCCTGTTGACGTTTTGCAGGGGCATCTGGGTTGACAATGCAGAGAACTAGGGTAGCCATCTTTAGTTGTAGTTAAAAACGCCTAGATACAGTAACATTAAGGAGATTTTTTGATAATGTGAAAAATTTTTGTAAGTCAAAGATTTTAAGTAATAATTTTAATCATAACTAATGATATTATGCTGTATGGCTCACACTGGGCAGCTCTCCCTGTGTGTGTGTGTTTGACCCTGACTATGTGGTAAGTGCCAAGTAGGCCTGATTGGGTCAAAAGCTGGGGCCTGGAGAACCGCACGCACACAAAGATCCTGTTTGTACTATATACTATTAAGAATGTCTTTAAGAGGAGAAACAAACATATCAGTTGTAACCACATTAATGGTTGATAGTTAATTACACTATGCTGTGTTCGTTCTCTCTCTCTGTGCAGGCCTGTGTGTGCAGGCAAGGCCTCTCTGTACGGGCTTGGGCCTTGTCCTGGAGTACTACATATGTTTCTACCAGGCCTGGGAAAGGCTGCTCAGTACTACCTTGAACATGAACTGTAACTATGATAGGGCCACTTGGCCATTGTTTGGGAGTCTCGGCCTGCACGCACACACAGAGAGAGACCTAGTTTAATTCTGGCCGGCGCACAAACACAGATCTAGTTTGGACCATAACTATTTTTTACCCATTTCATGTACAAAACATATATTTTAACACTTCATTGTTCAGTCACAATTAGGAATAACGTGTTAAGTCACAATTAAGGGATAATCAATAGATTTTAACTTACTTTTTACTCTCTTGACCAATGAAAAAAAAGAATAAGTGAACTGATGTGATGTAATCATGAACATAGCCCCTTAAAGTGTGTTTTAACTTATAGATAATGGTAGTCAAATGTAATAACTCAAGGCCAGTGGTTATTATTTTATGTAATGGTACATTATTGAATTGAAATGAACTGAATGGCTAATAAGGGATGACATGGCACCTTTAGAAGGAAAACAAGGGTGTTTGTCACAGAAGGCCAAGGCTAACTGAAAAAAACGAAGTGTATGTAAAAAGTACTGAACTGTTAGATATAATAGGAACCCAGTTTAGTCAGAGTTGCATGTAAAAGTAAGACAGATCAGGTGAGATGAGGTAATGAGGGTGGGTAAAATCTCCAAAGCAGTATAAAAAGGGCTGATTTTTTTTCCTGTTTTTTTACTTGCGGCCCTGGACTACTCAAGTCAACGCTTTCATTTGCAAAGCCATAATTTTTAATAAAAGATTGGACCTTTCTCTGACATTCTTGGTGTTTGTTTTCTGTTTTGTATCAGACAAAGTTTTATTTCTGAATTAGAAACATGCAGAAATAACAATGACATTCGGGGTTGGAAGAAGTATTCAGATCCTTTATTTGAGTAAAAGTGCATTAAAAATCCTACTTATGTAAAAGTACATAAGTGTTAGAGGCAAAATGTACTTAAAGTATTAAAGTAAAAGTACTGGTTTGGTTCCTTTGACTGATATTGTGATATGTGACATCATTAGATTATTAACACTGAAGCATTGGAGTGTAATCAGCATGTTATTGTTGGTGCTGCTGAAGGTGTAGCTGGTTTGAACTACTATATATATATATATATATATACACACACACACACACACACACACACACACACACACACACACACACACACACAGTTTTTTTATGCAGATATACCAGAGAAATCTAAGGGGTTAAATAAACCCTTGAATAAAGCTATACAAGAACAAGAATCTACTTTTTAACTTGAACTTTGAAAAACAATTATTTTTTTACTGTCTAACTAGGTATAATCATTAACTATTTCTTATGTCTAACCTTACTTAAGCAATAAAACACGAGAGGGAGCATGTTATCGCGAAATAACATCACGGCTGTGGCAGCCATAGATCATCACAGCCATGATGTTATTCGCGATAATACACTCCCTCTCGTGTTCTATTGCTTTTATACAACAATTAAATAAATAAAGTAAGAAATTAATAAATTGGGCCGTGAACGTGGCCTTTAGTATGTTTTCATGTTAGCAGTTCCTTCTGCCAAATTATAGTTCCTTAACAAGCAGCTCATTGCTACGTCAGAGTAACGAGCTCCGCTCACCTGCTGCAAACCCGGCAGTTCGTTCTTCAGCTCCACATACAGACCAACTGACAGTTTGGGAATTTAGTGTAGTCTCATCATCAGAGTCTGACCAAATCGGCTATCGGTCAAATGTGATCTTAAAAGTATCCATTTTCTGTTTGTGCGTAAAGTAAGAAGTAAAAACGTTCAAATGGCGTGTCTCCTACAGCTGTCAAAGTCGTTGCTTAGCAACAACGTCTCAACGGAGTGATGCACGTCACTTCTATCACAGAGAAACGTTAGATTTTTCTAACCTTTGGGTTTTCGCCCAACATTATCATAGACGGTATTTGTCTCAAGCCTAGGTAACCACTCGGGTCTTCCCATTGTTTAATGGGAACTCTCCACGAGCAGTTCCAAATGCCATCCTCGTCCAAAACTTTCATAGGTGGGCTTTTCACGGAGCAGAATCTAGCCAGCCATGTAGCAATGTCCTCTCCAGTTACAGTTTCACTGAACATTCTGACAATTACCACCTTGTGAGAATTGTATAAGGTTGAGAAACTTTCTAACATGGGAAACTGGTCCTTGACTGACTCATATCTTGCATAGAAATCCTTTAACAGGGAAGCGGAATGGAAACTAACATCAAAACCTTTATTCCCAGGCAAAGATAAACAATTCAAATCATGGGGTGTGAAGCCGAGGGTCTTTTGGATCAGCTTCCTTGAGAAATCCAGCCTTGACATCCCAAGGAGCCGACCCTCTACCTCCTGAAATAATAGGCGCACACTATGGTGCCTCCGCACGCCGGCACGAGCAGCCGACATGCTTGGAGGCACCTGGTGGCCGCTAAAACCACTAAAACAATAAATAGAACAATAAATAACTAAAAGAACCTAAAAGAAGAAAGAAGATAATATTGCACTTACCTTGTTGATGTCGGCTTCTTCTGATGGCCTTGGTGGACAGTCAACCTGCAGAAAAGCCAAATGCGTCCCGCAGTAGGTCTGAGATAGGCCTACCTGAGACCAACTCACACCAACCAAAGACGAGTACAATACACTCTTGAATGCTTAGGACCAAGGTCACAAAGACCAAGACCGGGGCACACTCAAGAGTTGATCGCTGTCTTAGCCAGAGGGCTGATGAAGTGCAGCACCTGATAAGAACAGATAATACACTTGATCTTAGCCAAAAGGCACAGAGGCGTTTAACAGTTTCTGATATTGAGTTATATCCAGTTTCATAAGCAGCGTCATTAGAAAATAAAATTACTAATTTTAATACAGTGATATGTTCTCCTCATCAGTTACCTTTAAGAATCAGAATCACTTTATTTCACTAAGTATGTTACACAAACACAGTTTCGTCCAACGTGGTTCAAATGACTTCTGCTCTAATTTGGCATTTTTGTATAAATAATCTACTTTATTATACCTTCATTTCCTTTCTTTTATTAATTTTCTTTATTTAGGTTTATTTTATTGTTTCTGTTCACTAGTTTTCTTCCTGAATTCCCATTTGGCCAGTTTGAACTCTACTGATGCTTTGATCCAACAGTGCTTTGACTGATGTCTCTGTTATTAATCCTGCATGTAAAGATTTTATTTGAAAATAAAATAAAATATGGAGAGGGAAGTGTTTAAAAATAAGACTACTGTATGTTCAGAGAGCGAGTGCATTTGCCTTATTGATAATCACAACATTTAGTCTTCCTGCTCAAAGTCATATGACTGTGTTTCGTTTTCTTGTTTTTTTAGAAGCAAGTTCTTGTTTATAAGCACAACATTTACAAGACTCGATCTAAGCTTGTTCAGAAAATTAAAGGCATTCACTTTTTGTTTCCATACGCAATTTCAATACGAACACAAACAATACTATAACCAATAAACAACCCAACGCTTAACCACTTTCTCTGTTTTTAACCAGTGAGAAGGGGGTGCACCATTCCCGGAAGTACTGCAATACCGGGTCGATGCGTGGAGTGGACGGAGCAAGCCCCTATTCCATCTCCCTGCTCCAAAAATCAATTTAATATATGGTCCCCGGGTAGGGGACGTATCAGATATTAAACTGATAAGAACAGATACTACACTTGATCTTAGCCAAAAGGCCGAGAAGCGATACCGGTGAAAGCTCAGAACAGGCGGGTCATTCTTCCACAAATATAAGACGAGGATGGTGAGCAGAGCTGCTGTCCGCCATCGACAACTTACAGCACGGAATATAATCAAGTCAAACCGCTTCTGTTCAACTCCGAGAGCCAGAAAAGGCACTTTAAACGCTTCTCTACGTCAACACGTCAAAGACGGCGCATGTTAATGAGCTCACCGGCTGGCCAATCAGAAACGAGGATACTCGGTTTTGCGCGCAGAGTTTACAGCACGGTTTTACTAAACTCACCTTGAAACGTACAAAACATTCAGTCCACAGAATCAACATATATCGGACTAAATACACTAAAGGACGACGTTAAATGGTCCGTTTTATGTAAGTTGACCTCTCAGCGGCCAAACGTGGTACTGCAGGGAGAAAATATCACTGAGTCAGAGTCTCTCAGAAACGGAGAGGACTGATAACACGAGGTGTCGATTTACAAGTATCAGCGGATCTATTTTAGACATTGTGCTCGTTACGTAAACGAAATAAACAAGTTGGTAGGTGGGCAGACAGACTGACAGACAGGGCCTGCTTCTTACCGCGGTCAAACAAGCATAATCAAACAGGAATACAGCTGATCAAAAGTTCAAACACAGTTGAACTACAACATTTAAGCTTTTAATGCAACAGAAAGGAACAGACACATATGACCTATGTATTATAAACGAGTTTCTTCCTTGAATGTGTAAGCTGCCTGATTCCAGTTTTCATTTTTTTATTAAATCAGGTTTCCTTTAAAGTGTATGAAAGTTAAATGGAAAAGACTGCAAATAAGACAATGACTATCCAGCATAGACGATGTAAAGTTCTTTTTGACCACCTTCCTTATTGCCCATACTGGTGGTATATAATTATATATTACCTTTGTTCCCCATGCAAAATTAGTACTACTCATCCTAGTCCTGTGGTCATTCTAACTATTCTAACCTCTGATGAAGGACCAGAGCAGGTGTGCCCAACCATGGTCCTGTTGGTCTGTTGTCCTACGAAGTTTAGCTCCAACTCTAGTCCAACACACCTGGTCTAAGCCATGAAGATTAAATATTAGAGCCAGATGTGTTGAAACCGAACTCTCCGGGGCAGGCAGTAAATCTCAAGCTTCTTCTTCAGTGGTCAGGTTGTGACCACAGAGCTGCTCTTGGCTGGATATTTTTTGGTGGTTGTCCACGCTCAACCTAGCAGTGACACTAACATGTGTATTTAAAAAACAAAAAAAAAAATCACATCAGCATGACTCTGTCTGATATACGCCCTTAAACATTACACACACTGCCATGTCAGTGTCACTGCTGACAACAGACCACCATCCAAATAATATCCGGTCATCAGCTGTTCTATGATGGTCCCTTTCCATCGAAGTCATGTTTATTAACAGATGAGTGCAGATACACTTTAGGTGTGCACACTGTACTGACATAAAAAGTGCTGCACTATAGCAGACATTAAAACTTTTCCACTGAAATGCCAACATGATCTCTGAGCAGAGCCAAATAAAACAATTAAACAAGTCCTCTAAAAAGGTCAGGTGTACCAACCAAGCTCTTTTTGAGGAGTTTGCTGCAGCCTTTCAATGACGTCATTCTGAAGGAAACAGAAATACAGCATTAAAATTAATCCCTACACAAACGTTACATGTTATTGTTCACATAAGATTTGCTTACTTTATCAGAGCTCAACTCCATGTGAATCACTTAGTTCAGTGAGGAACTTCAACAAATGTATCTTCTGGCACTTTTTTCTTTCTGCTCCACTTTGGTCCCTTATCCATACTGATTCACAGGAGACTGCAAACCAAAGAGTAATGCTTGTTTTTGTCTAACTTCACAACTTGGATTATTCTAGTTCATGTTTAATCTAAATGAAAATACACTCAATACATTTCTTGTTTAAACGGCTCATGTACTGACCTCCGAACTAACTCCAGTGGCACTGCTGCATCCTTTAAACAATAAATGTAAATTGTTCAGTTTTCCAGTAATTAGGTTCCCCTTCTTTGTTTGTACACTCACTGTCCATTTCATCACATAAACCCACCACAGGCATACTCTGCTACAAGAAATAGCTGTACAATACAGCAATCACCCCCAACCCCATCTATCAGGGGAAAAGACCACCATGCATTTATGTTGTTGCAGTCAGGATAAAACCTTGCATCCCCAAAATGGTAACTTTACAAGAAAAAGAAAAAAAAACAAACAAATTCTTAAAGTGGAAATTAATGGAAGAAGATTTTTTTATCCCAGTAATTTCTTGGAACAGTTTTGGAACATTTCTACAGCTCCATTAGTCTAGTTCGACTCCATGTAAAAGCAACAAATTCTACATAATAATTAAAATAAAAAATAAACTAAAATAAAATAAAAATGGAGATAGAAGGCTTTGTCTCGGCAGTGACGATATGTTTAGTGGACCTGATAAAATGGAAAAAGAGTGTAAACACAAGGTAGATGTACCTAATGAACTGGCAACTCTGCGTGAAACTCCACTTTAGCCGTCCAGTTTCAGATACAGGAAAAACACAAGCCCTGTTAGATCAGTGCTACTGCAATGGTGATGTCAATTCCTTACTAATAATTACTATAAACAGAGTTCTTGGCAAGTTCACTGTTGATTTAGGGCCTTAAGTTACCCTTTATTAGTCCCACAACAGGGAAATTCACCTCCCCATTTAACCCTTCTGTGCAGTGAAACACCCACATACACACTAGTGAACACACACACACACACACACACACGACACACGCACACGCACACTAGGGGGCAGTGAGCACACCTGCCCAGAGCGGTGGGCAGCCCTATCCACAGCGCCCGGGGAGCAGTTGGGGGTTGGGTGCCTTGCTTAAGGGCACTTCAGTCATGTCCTGTCAGCTCAGGGGATCAAACCAGCAACCTTCCGGTCACAAGGCTGGTTCCCTAACCTCCTGCTCCCAAAATAAAAATCGACTTTTCCACTCCTTGTGCGCTTCAGTCTAGTTTTTAGAATTATGCTGAATGATACAACAAAACATACAACATTATATTGTCACGACATAAAATGACAAAATAAAATGAACACAATATAAAAGCACAACAAATCAAAAACAAGCAAACTAGCAGCATCAAGCACAAACAAAATAAAAAAAAACAAACTTGTACAATATCTGAAATGCCAATAAAACGAGAAAGTAGTGATTAGTAAATTCGGCTTGGCCTGCATTAAATTGTAAACGGTACAAAACACACAATATTTGATGTTTTACTTGATGAACGGATCATTTTTTTATTGTTTTAACTGGTGCAGCAGTTACATTCTGGCGCCTCAGGCACCATTTAAGGTGAAACAGGATAATTCAAAAAGAAGCTGGCAAACAAGAAGCCGACTTCAGCCTCATAAAAGTTTGGGAGACATTTTACAAAATACTATTCTACTTTTACGCAGAGCAACGCGAGTCTGCATTTTCATAATATTATTTTATCTATTCTAGGACATTAACACATACTGAGACATACCGACAGCCAAGATGATAAAACTTTACTTCAATAAAATGGGCAGGTCATATGTTATCTTAAAGTCATCCATTTTATTAATTTATTAATTTTGTATAAGTACAAAACAACTAAAGCTTGTCCTTACTCGCCGACACGTCAGCAGAGTGACAATGTTTTGGTGTAAAGGCCATGCTGTTATCACAAATATAAACACAGCAAGAACGCTTCACAGCCATTCAGACTGTAACGTTGGGACTTACTGTTGTTTAAGACATAATAAAGAACATGTAGCAAAATAGTAATAATACCACTTTCTTTTGAGAGGTAGCACTTCTTTGCTGTCATCAAAGTCTTGGTCAACACTGGACAGCTGCTGTTTTTTATCGGAATACTGTAGAAATTCATATTAGTATTGATTGCGTTAGTAAGGATTTATAAGTGCAATAAAATCTCTAATTTCAGTTTTCCAAGCATTTTGCATTAAAGAACAACAATATTTAAGACTCTACAAAACAGTAAAGCTAGTTAGCCAGATCCAGTAAGACTGCAAATGTTGTGTGAGAAAAAACACAAAACACCTCAGCTTAATAATCACTGAAATGAAGACCCTTTATCGGAGCCCAAGTAGCTGACGTCCCATCCCTGAGATAATGTGCTGACCCCACGGTACCGCGCTAGGCCCGAGCTAACGTACCAACACGCTAACCGCGAACCAACCCGCTACCTGACGTGCTAACACGCTAACAGCTTAAAAGCATAAAAATAACGAGTTAACAAGCTAAACCAGCCGACATCACATTAATATTTACAGCAAAGAAATTACTTCCACCACATGGTTTACATTACTAACAGATAATCTTACATCACCAACACTAGAGTGTAAGATGTACAGCAGAGACAGTTACCTGTTCAGCTCCTAACAGGAAGGAGGGGAAAGAAAAGCCCACCATCTCTTCGCCTTCAGCGTAGCGACGTCGTCGCTTTCTGTTCACGCATGCGCACATACGCAGACAGAAAAGCAGACCTGTTGACGCCTTTATTGAACCACTTTAACTTCACTGATCTTCATTCAGAGCTACACTTACATCAGTTTCATGTAAATAATGCATTTTAAGTTAACAAGCTCATATTCTTAGTCAGTTGAACACAATTTAGGTAATTAAACTTAACAATGTCCCAGTTTTATTTTTTGAAGCTAAGGGCTCCAAACCAGCTCTGTCAGTAAAAAATGAGCGAGAACTTCAAGCTGGGACCACATCTGAACTGTGATGATACTGACAAAAAAAGTACAGGATGGTGTTTATGATGGTGTTTATATATATATATATATTTTTTCTCTCTTTTCTTACAGGTTACACACGTACATATATAATAACCATATATATAATAACCAGGGGTAGCTGTAAATGGTCACTCATTTGGATTTCCTTTCCTCTGAGTGTGTCAAATTACTGTACTTTTAAAAGAATTTAAAATGCAAATTAATTTAATTCCCACTGCAGTTAGAGGATATAGGCCTGAAACAATATTAGTCAAGGCCTGTTGTTGCTGTTGCAGTTCTTCTTTTTCTTCTTCTTCTTATTATTATTATTACTATGTTAGTATGTTAGCCTAAAAGAAAGGAGGTTATATAAAGGAGCCTTATTTGAGCTGGATTAGTTTTACCAGAGGTGGTAATGCGATGTGTTCAGTGATGTAATTTTGTGCAGGGGAGTATTTCACAAAGCAAAATGTTCCAGTTTAGGGAGAAACTTACGCCTGTCCAATAGGAAAAGAATTGAGGGACATTTCTATTGGACAATCATCATCTTTGAGCTCATCTGGCTAACTGAGAAATCCTGCTTTGTGAAATACAGGTTTTGTCTGGCCCATTCATACAGTATCTGTACATGTTTCCTTTACCATGATAGTCTGAATGTACATGCCTGCAAAAAAAACCCATGTTACAATTACAGAGACTTGTAAAAACTAAAGACATTGCAGGTGAAGACTGGATGTAATCCATGCGGCCCAGAACTTTTGTAATGCACAGGGCATATTAGCATTTTTATATGTGGGCCACTTTTTTTGCTGTTTGCCAGTAGGCAGCAGTGCCATATCTGTGCCAGAAGTGGCCCACATCTGCACGCTATCTGGGTTTGGGGCCTCTGCAACATCTTTAAGGCTCAAATAAGTTATTCAGTATTGTGTGATTCAACCTATTTGACACAAGATAGAATGGATATCGACAGAAATTTTGCCGTAGTGGGTATAACATATAAAACCTGTCATTTAAAAGAAATCGAGGAGGCTGAGGAGACGCTAACTAACGTTAGCGGTAATGTTAGCTAACGTTACCTGTCAACAGAACTCTTAGATAGATAATGCTTTCATTAAAACACTGAAGAGAAAACATCAGGTTTAACTTGAACTTTGAAAAACAGTTATTTTTCTACTGTCTATACACTCTGTGTATAATCATGAACTATTTCTTACGTTTGGTCTTACTGTACGGTCACCGACAGGTCACTTCAGGTCACAGAGAAACGTTAGACTTAACCACAGCAGCAACAATCAAGCATTCAGAAAACATGAGACGTGCTCTGACCAGCCTGTCTGTACTGACGGCCTCGTTCTGGTCGGGAACAACACACAGATAACAACATTTAACGGTTTTATTGAGTTATATCCAGTTTCATAAGCAGCGTCATTAGAAACTAAAATTACTAATTTTAATACAGTGATATGTTCTCTTCATGAGTTACCTTTAGGAATCAGAATCACTTTATTTTGCCAAGTATGTTACACAAACACAGAGTTTGTCTGGGTGAGTCACACATGTATGACATGTAAACACACTGAACAGACCAGACAAGCACACCGACTCAACAAGTGTTTAACTAAGGGGGAAAATACAATAGAGTAATAAAGGTGTGATGAGAAAGGAGTTAAAGAGATGTGTGAATATCTGTACATACACAGATATGAATATCCATACCTATGTAGGTTTGAGTAGAGAAATAACATATACAGAATATTACAGAATGATATGAACATATGGAAAATTAAAAACTAATTCACATGACGGTGTTTTGTTCTTGCTTTTTTTTTCCTGCTAAACTAATCCTAGTTTGTAACCACAACATTTGAAAAGAAAAAAGGCACGTGCTTTTTCAGACAACTGGGCCTTCACTCGCTTTTAGTTTCGCGTTAATAGGTTCTACACTGACTTAACACACTTCTCAAAACCCCAAAACTCAAAACTCAAAACTCTACAACCATATAACAAATCAATACTACAGACTTTGTTTCTGTTTTTAACCAGTGAGAAAGGGATGCACCGTTCCCGGAAGTACTGCAATACCGGGTCGATGCGTGGAGTGGACGGAGCAAGCCCCTATTCCATCTCCCTGCTCCAAAAATCAATTTAATATATGGTCCCCGGGTAGGGGACGTATCAGATATTAAACTGATAAGAACAGATTTTTTCTTTTGAAAGTATTTTATTGTCACCATTCTTATAATTCATACACATACAATTGCATTCTTCACATGAACATAAAAATCTCGCATAAAACACACAGTTTACATGTTGACCATTTCATTGATAAAACACCTTTTAAAAACACTCACGCATAAAAGAAAAAAAACAATAAATAAATAAGCTTTGTTTAAAAGGTTTTCTCAATGATTTTCTAAAAGATTTTTCTCAAGAAGTGTGTGTTTAAAAGTTCATGTAAAAAACACTGTGTAGGTTTAAAAAACATGCAACATATAAAACACCATACTTATTAAAAGCCAATAAATACATTAAAAGGCGTATAAAATGCAATTAAAAGGGTCTCCGTTGTCCAGGACCGGGGTGAGCCTCTATCAAGCTGGCACCACCCTGATCCCCAGAAGTCGCCAGGCTGCTGATTATCTGTTCCAGCGGAGATCCTCTCTCCATGCCCGCTGCTCCACCCTTTGTGGTGTCACATTCTCTTTGGGGGGGCATCTACGGGAGCCAGGGACCGTGGTGGTCTGGACCCCCCTGCGTGCGGCCCCGGCCCCCTCCTCCGAATGGCGGCGCTCGGTGCCCCCTGCAGCGAGGATGTTACCAGCTCATAAATAGCATGCAGTGGCACCGTCACGCGCTTTCCCACCAGCAGGTTGCGGGCGGTCCACAAGGCGGCCTTCACGCTGTTTAGGGTGAGCCAGAGCGCAGTGAATTCTTCTGCTGGTAACTTTTCGGTGCCCTGGCCCACCCCGTTCACCGCTAGCCGGTAAACCAGCGGGTGGACCGCCCCTGCCGGCAGGCTCGGGCATTGCAGGGGGCCGATCATGCCCCACAGGTCCCTCGCCACGCTGCACTCCCAGAGCGCATGCCGCACGGTCTCGGGTTCGCCACACCCGGGCCGCGGGCAGATCGGGTTTGTCCCCATGCCCCGGGAGTGCATCACGGCCCTGACCGGGAGGATCTCATGGGCAGCCAACCAGCACAGGTCTTTGTGCTTGTTCTGGAGAGCAGGGTGGGCTGCGTTCTTCCAAACTTGTTTGGCCTCACTTAGTGTGAGGCCGGGAACGGGGCTCACTTCTTCCCGGTCCTGTACAAGAGAGACCATAGACTTTGCATTAGTTAAAATGGTGACATTTTCTTTTTCTAAAAAATATTTCCTTAAAAATTTCTTAATAAAACCATATTCTGGTGGCAGGGTAAAAGACACGGGGGTTCTAAGATCTGGGGTTAAAATGCGTAAACTTTGCAGGTAAGACCCCATCCAGAACCTCGCCATGGCTGCCGTCTTGTTGTCTCTGGATGGGGTCATTGCATACTGCACGTGCAGGGCGATGAACTTGCTTCCTAAAAACAGGTGGGGGTCTGGGAGCCCCTTCCCTCCATTTTCTGGCCTCTTCTTTACCACCTCCCGTCGCAGACGCTCCCATTTGGACCCCCACAGGAAGTAAAACACCGCCCTCTCTAGATCTAAAAGAAAAAAACGTGGAGGACTAAAAACAGAACAAAGGAGTAAAAGCAAGGGTAAAACAACAGCTTTTATTATTAAAATCTTGCCCTCCATTGTCATCTGTCGCAGTCCCCAAAACCCCAGTCTTTGCTTCACTTTCCCTATCATGTCAGTCCAGTTGCCCCGTCCACCACCCTCCTCGTCAAATTTGATCCCTAAAATCCTCATGTCTTTCTCTTTAAAATCCAAGTCCAGGTTCGTCTGTATGTCCTCCCATGGCCCAAAGAGCTGGGCCTCGGACTTGCTCCTATTGAGCTTAGCGCCCGAGGCCCTTCCATACCAGTCAGTCAAGTCCAGTGCTCTTTGGGCCGATAAAACGTCCGAACATAAAAGCGTGACGTCGTCCATGTACAGAGAACAGGTCGCCGTCAGTCCACCTGGCAAGTCTAGTCCTTTGATCCATTTATCCTTTCTCAATATCTGCGCCAGCGGCTCGATGCAAGCAACGAACAGGAGTGGAGATAAAGAACACCCCTGACGGACGCCAGAGCGAATATTTATCGCTTTCGTAAGGTGCCCATTTACCATAATTCTGCTGCTGATGTCCCGGTACAGCAGCCCCACCCATTCTATAAACCTCCCTGGGAAGCCCATCTTTTGCAGTACCTGAAACAGGAACTGGTGCGAGACCCGATCAAAAGCTTTCTCAAAATCTAAATTTAGTACTAAAAGCCGAATGTTTCTGTCTCTCGCAAAACAGATGGCGTCTCGGATCAGCACTAGGCTGTCCGTGATCTTCCTTCCAGGAACGGCGCAGGTTTGATCCGGGTGGATCACGTCCTCTAAAACCGTCGACATTCGTCTTGATAAAACTTTGCTAAAAAGTTTACAATCCACGTTTAAAAGAGTAATTGGTCTCCAGTTTCTTATGTCAGTCTTGTCCCCTTTCTTATGCAGCAAAGAAACTATCCCTATTCTAAAACTGTCCGGGAGTCTGTCAAGTCTTTCAAATTCTTTAAAAACAGTCAGTATGTCATTTGATAAAATGTCCCAGAAGGTGTCATAAAATTCCGCGGGGAGTCCATCCTCTCCCGGGGATTTGCCCCTTTTAAAACCTTTGAGACACTTTTGAATTTCTAAAACTGTAAAATCATCTGTTAAAGCAACATGACTGTTTATTTTTTTATCTATAAAATTTAAGACTTCATTCATCGTTCCTTTATGCACATCTTTTTCCCCATATAAATTCCTGTAAAATTCTTCTACTATGTTTAAAATTTCTTGGTTATTGTTTCCCTCCCTGTCTTCTTCCTTTAACTTTGATATTTTCCCACCCCTTGTTAAAATTTTCTTAAAAAAATATCTTGTGCATTTTTCTCCCTCTTCAACTTCTTGTTCTTTGCTCCTTAAAATGATCCCTTTACTTCTTATTGCTGATAAAACTGACATTTCTCTTTTAACTTGTTTAATTTCTTCATTAAAATCAAGACCTTGGTTTAAAAGGTTAAAATATCTCTGTAGTCTTTTTTGCAGCCCCACCATGCGCCTCCGCTCTTTGTTCTTCTTGTCTTTCCCAACTTTCTTAAAAAAGTCTTTCGTCCGTCTTTTCACCATCTCCCACCACTGTGCCCGTGAATCGTAGAAGTCCTGAAGGGTCTGCCAGAAGCTGTACTGCTCCCTGTAGCTTTTAACAATCTCTTCATCTTGCAACAGGAAGCAGTTCAGCTTCCACAGCCCTCCCCCTATCGTCACACCTGTGGGAAAGGACAGGGTGCAGGATAGCATGACGTGATCAGAAAAGAATAGAGGAATCAATGTAGCATCTGTAGGCAGGCAATCTCTTGTAAAAATGTAGTCAATTCGGGAGGCCCGGGCTCCATCACCACTAAACCAGGTGAAGCCCTCCTCCTTCGGATGCACTTTTCTGAAACAGTCCACTAGCTTAAAATCTTTTGCTAAACCCTGCAATAAAAGGGACGACTTGTCTAAATTAAAATCATCGCCTGCGTTTTTTCTATCTTTTTTTTCTAAAACACAATTAAAATCCCCTCCCACCACCAAAGGTTCCCTCCCTAAAAGGTGGGGCTGCAGATCTTCTAAAAGTTCGCACCTGTCCTGTTTGTCGTTAAAACCATACACGTTAAGAATTTTAAAATCCCTCCCTAAAAAAGTCAAATGTGCTAAAATCGCCCGCCCTTCCCTCACCACCGTGCTGCCCTTCACCAAGATGTTAGGATTCTTTATTAAAAGGGCGACGCCGTCAGCTTTGTTGTAATGTGAGCCACTCCACAGAGAAGGGCCTGCAGACCACCGCTGCTCCCAGTCTCTGTATGACTGTAAGAATGGCAATGCACACTCCTGTAGTAAAAACACATCTGACTTTACATTACTTAAAAAGGAAAGGATACTTTGTGCTCTTATAGTGGCTCTCACACTTCTGACATTAATGGTCGAGATTGTGAGAGCCATAAGCAGTATGGTTGGGGGAACAGGTTAAAAACTTCTAAAAGATCTTCAAACTTATAATTAAAGGACTACAGAGTTACTTATTAAAAGGGAACACTTAAAATCACGTAATCTCTTGTGAGACCTGTTCCTCCTTAATCTTCACCCTTCTGGGTAAAGGAGGGGGACAGGACTCTCCAGCCCGTGGCCCCACAGAGCCATGCTCTTGTGGGGCTTTAGGCGTGGATGCTTTAAGCTCTATGCTGAGAAAAGATACCTCATTTGGCGAGCCAGTGGGCCACAGCCGATCCAGGTCTTCCGATGAGGAACTCCCTGGATCTTGCGTCGCCCTCTGTTTCTTCTCTGCCAACAAAGGCAGAGGAGATGCTGCCGGTCTCTTCCCAGCTTGAGCATTTGGGAGTGGGGCAGAATCCTCACTCCCATTAGATGGTGGGCCCAGGTCAGGCACTGTTTCTAAAGAGGAGACAGGAGTATCCTCCCTCCCCTCCTGTACTTCTTGGTTTTCTTGGTGGGCGGGTGTGGCCTCCCGTCCCCTCTCCTCGTGCACCTCCTGCTCGTTAGCCTGTCCCACCATCTCTTGGCCAGTCACAGAGGCTGGCTGGGGGTTTGAAATTCCCACCAAAACCTCTGGGGCCGCCCCCTCTCCTCCTTCCTTCTCTTTGTTCCCTTCCACCAAACCCTCTACAGGGGCAGCCATCTTGTTTGCTTTGAGTCTGTTGGCAAATGATTTTGGGCAATTTCTGTAAAGGTGACTGGAGTCCCCACAAAGATTGCACCTCTTGCCATTGGTGCACTCCTCATAGGTGTGCCCAATTTCTTTACACTTTCCACATACAGTTTCTTGGCACGCTTCAGCTAGGTGCCCAAGCTTACCGCATTTGCGGCATAACTTGGGCATACCCTGATAGAAAATGTAGCCACGATTCTGTCCCAGCACTATCATTGAAGGCAAGTGTCTCAAGCCTAGGTAACCGCTCGGGTCTTCCCATTGCTGAATGGGAACTCGCCACGAGCAGTTCCAAATGCCGTCCTCGTCCACCACCTTGACAGGCTGCCCCTTAACCGTGCAGAATCTCCCCAACCATGTACAAATGTCTTCTCCCGTCACTGTTTCATTGAACATTCTAACAATCACTACACGGCGTGAATTGTCAGAAAGTTTCTCAACAGAAAACATGGAGAACTGGGCTTTCACTTCTTCAAACCTAAGCCAGAAACTTCTAAACAAAAGTGCAGACCTAAAGCTTACATCGAATCCCTTGTTGCCAGGCAGAGTCAATATACAATTTATCTCTTCCGGTTTAAAATTCAAGGTTTGTTGGATGAGCTTCCTGGAGAAGTCCAATCTGGACATCCCCAGGAGCTTCCCCTCAACCTCCCGAAAAGAAAATCTTACGCTGTGGTGCCTCCCCATGCCGGCACGAGCAGCCGACATGGTGGAGGCACCAACAGCACACTAAGAACACTAAAATACAGTAAAAAACAATAAATAAACTAAAACCACTAAAAGGCTTACCTTAAGAACGACAATGCCTGGCAACAAGGGGTCCAATCTCCTCTTCAAACAAGCAGAAAAAGGAATCCACGCCTCTCCACGCAGAAATTTCTCTCTGACAGGTAACGACAGGAGCCACTAAACAGGCAACTGTCTCCCCACAGAGAGTCGATCGCAGTCTCGTCCTCTTGATCTTAGCCAAAAGGCCGAGAAGTATTCAGATCCTTTATTTAAATAAAAGTGCATCAAAAATCCTGCTTAAGTAAAAGTATATGAGTGTTAGAGGCCAAATGTACTTAAAGTAAAAGTACTGGTTTGGTTCCTTTGACTGATATCGTGATATGTGACGTCATTAGATTATTAACACTGAAGCATTGGAGTGTAATCAGTATGTTATTGTTGGTGCTGCTGAAGGAGGAGCTGGTTTGAACTACTATATATATATATATATATATATATATATATATATATATATATATATATATATATATATATATACACACACACACACACAGTTTTTTATGCAGATATACCAGAGAAATCTGAGGGGTTAAGTAAACCCTTGAATAAAGCTATACAAGAACAAGAATCTACTTTTTAACTTGAACTTTGAAAAACAATTATTTTTTTACTGTCTAACTGGGTATAATCATTAACTATTTCTTATGTCTAACCTTACTTAAGCAATAAAACACGAGAGGGAGCATGTTATCACGAAATAACATCACGGCTGTGGCAGCCATAGATCATCACAGCCATGATGTTATTCGTGATAACACACTCCCTCTCGTGTTCTATTGCTTTTATACAACAATTAAATAAATAAATAAAGTAAGAAATGAATAAATTGGGCCGTGAATGTGGCATTTAGTATGTTTTCATGTTAGCAGTTCCTTCTGCCAAATTATAGTTCCTTAACAAGCAGCTCGTTGCTACATCAGAGTAACGAGCTCCGCTCACTCGCTGCACAGCCGGCAGTTCGTTCTTCAGCTCCACACAGACCAACTGACAGTTTGGGAATTTAGTGTAGTCTCATCATCAGAGTCTGACCAAATTGGCTATCAGTCAAATGTGATCTTAAAAGTATCCATTTTCTGTTTGTGTGTAGAGTAAGAAGTAAAAACGTTCAAATGGCGTGTCTCCTACAGCTGTCAAAGTCGTTGCTTAGCAACAACGTCTCAACGGAGTGATGCACGTCACTTCTATCACAGAGAAACGTTTTTCTAACCTTTGGGTTTTCGCCCAACATTATCATAGACAGTATTTGTCTCAGGCCTAGGTAACCACTCGGGTCTTCCCATTGTTTAATGGGACCTCTCCACGAGCAGTTCCAAATGCCATCCTCGTCCAAAACTTTCATAGGTGGGCTTTTCACGGAGCAGAATCTAGCCAGCCATGTAGCAATGTCCTCTCCAGTTACAGTTTCATTGAACATTCTGACAATTGCCACCTTGTGAGAATTGTCAGAAAGTTTCTCAACCTTAAACATGGGAAACTGGTCCTTGACTGACTCATATCTTACATAGAAATCTTTTAACAGGGAAGCGGAGCGGAAGCTAACATCAAAACCTTTATTTCCAGGCAATGACAGCAAGCAATTCAAATCGTGGGGTGTGAAGCCGAGGGTCTTTTGGATCAGCTTCCTTGAGAAATCCAACCTTGACATCCCAAGGAGCCGACCCTCTACCTCTTGAAATAACAGGCGGACACTATGGTGCCTCCGCATGCCGGCAAGAGCAGCCGACATGTTTGGAGGCACCTGGTGGCCACTAAAACCACTAAAATAATAAACAGAACAATAAATAACTAAAAGAACCTAAAAGAAGAAAGAAAAGAAAGATAATATTGCACTTACCTTGTTGATGTCGGCTTCTTCTGATGGCCTTGGTGGACAGTCAACCTGCAGAAAAGCCAAATGCGTCCCGCAGTAGGTCTGAGATAGGCCTACCTGAGACCAACTCACACCAACCAAAGACGAGTACAATATACTCTTGAATGCTTAGGACCAAGGTCACAAAGACCAAGACCAGGGCACACTCAAGAGTTGATCGCTGTCTTAGCCAGAGGGCTGATGAAGCACAGCACCTGATAAGAACAGATAATACACTTGATCTTAGCCAAAAGGCACAGAGGCGTTTAACAGTTTCTGATATTGAGTTATATCTAGTTTCATAAGCAGCGTCATTAGAAAATAAAATTACTAATTTTAATACAGTGATATGTTCTCCTCATCAGTTACCTTTAAGAATCAGAATCACTTTATTTCACTAAGTATGTTACACAAACACAGTTTGGTCCAACGTGGTTCAAATGACTTCTGCTCTAATTTGGCATTTTTGTATAAATAATCTACTTTATTATACCTTCATTTCCTTTCTTTTATTAATTTTCTTTATTTAGGTTTATTTTATTGTTTCTGTTCACTAGTTTTCTTCCTGAATTCCCATTTGGCCTGTTTGAACTCTACTGATGCTTTGATCCAACAGTGCTTTGACTAATGTCTCTGTTATTAATCCTGCATGTAAAGATTTTATTTGAAAATAAAATAAAATATGGAGAGGGAAGTGTTTAAAAATAAGACTACTCTATGTTCAGAGAGCGAGTGCATTTGCCTTATTTATAATCACAACATTTAGTTTTCCTGCTCAAAGTCATATGACTGTGTTTCGTTTTCACCTTTTTTTTTTTAGAAGATCTTGTTTATAAGCACAACATTTACAAGACTCGATCCAAACACCCACAAGCTTGTTCAGAAAACTAAAGGCATTCACTCTTTGTTTCCATACGCAATTTCAATACGAACACAAAAAACACTACAACCAATAAACAACCCAGCTTTGAACCACTTTCTCTGTTTTTAACCAGTGAGAAGGGGGTGCACCGTTCCCGGAAGTACTGCAATACCGGGTCGATGCGTGGAGTGGACGGAGCAAGCCCCTATTCCATCTCCCTGCTCCAAAAATCAATTTAATATATGGTCCCCGGGTAGGGGACGTATCAGATATTAAACTGATAAGAACAGATACTACACTTGATCTTAGCCAAAAGGCCGAGAAGCGATACCGGTGGAAGCTCAGAACAGGCGGGTCATTCTTCCACAAATATAAGACGAGGATGGTGAGCAGAGCTGCTGTCCGCCATCGACAACTTACAGCACGGAATATAATTAAGTCAAACCGCTTCTGTTCAACTCTGAGAGCCAGAAAAGGCACTTTAAACGCTTCTCTACGTCAACACGTCAAAGACGGCGCATGTTAATGAGCTCACCGGCTGGCCAATCAGAAACGAGGATACTCGGTTTTGTGCGCACAGAGTTTACAGCACGGTTTTACTAAACTCACCTTGAAACGTACAAAACAGTCCACAGAATCAACATATATCGGACTAAATACACTAAAGGACGACGTTAAATGGTCCGTTTTATGTAAGTTGACCTCTCAGCGGCCAAATGTGGTACTGCAGGGAGAAGATTTCACTGAGTCAGAGTCTCTCAGAGAAACGGAGAGGACTGATAACACGAGGTGTCGATTTACAAGTATCAGCGGATCTATTTTAGACATTGTGCTCGTTATGTAAACGAAATAAACAAGTTGGGGCGAATTCACAACTATATTTATATAGATAGAGAAGGCCTGCTTCTACTGCAGGGTCAAACAAGTCAGTAATACCGCTGATTAAAAGTTCAAACACAGTTTAACGACAACATTTAAGCTTTTAACGCGAGTAAAAGGAACAGACACATCTGCCACATGCATTACAAAATATTTTTTCGCAAACATGTAAGCTGCCTGATCAAAATGTTTAAATTCCTAAAGGGCATGATACCTGACACCATGATACATGGATACATGATATTAAGAGCACCTTGTAATTCAGACACAAAAGAAGCGAATTTCTAACCTTCGAAAGCGCAGAAGATTCTTGGGAAGGTAGCTAACAAACAACTAGCAGTGATGAAGAGTCTTTAAAAACCATCAACAGAAAACCTGTTTCAGTTAAACACTGAGCTCCACAGCTGCCTCTCCTTACCTGAGCTGATTCCTTCAGCGTTGATGGTTTAGGCGATGTCTAAACGTGTTTTAGGCGCCTGCATTAAGCTAATTACTTGTTAGTGATAGTATTAATATTTTAGTAAACTACAATCTTGAGGCACTACGGGTTTCTGCAAAGTCAAGGTCCTTACACTGCCCCAAGATGCCATAGGTCAAAGGTCATGATCTCCATGATCTGACGTTTTTCTTTTCTTATTTCACGTATTGGTAGGCAATATAGCGATAATCGTCCTAATTTAATGGTAAAGTTATCATATACTCTGAATTTTTTTTTGATGGATTTGTGTTTGAGGATTTTTAAATATATTTACATTTAAAAGAATCTACTTTATATTCTGTCGTAGTTTTCGACGTTTCTCATTTTATTTTAGACAAAGAGCAACAGAAAGTGTAGAATAGAGGCAGTGAACAACCTGCAGTTCACATTCTGGTCATCACTGTAATAGTGTCCTCATACCTTCCAGTGTATTTTTCATTTGCAGGCTGGTCTGCATAGCTTAAATGGCTTAGGGATTGTCTTAAGATTTGAAATCTATAATTATTTAATACTGAATATGTTTCTTAAGAAAAACTTTTGGCACGGACAAATATTTATTTAATTTTCTTTTTTGTGTGTGTCTATGAGGACTGTAGTGTGTTTGTTTGGTGATTGTTCTCATCACAGACATCATGTTGCTTGGACAATGATTGTTATTAAAACATTAAAAAGGACTCATTTATGCACTTTTCTAAACTGTCCTACCAGACATGGCGGTGCGACGTATGGTAAAGGAACTGTCTTTCCATAAGTGTAGAACTGGGTGAAAGGGTCACTTTAACTGTTAATTCAGCAACAACAATTGTTTCCTGTTCTGCATCGTTCCTGATCATGATTGGTGACATTGCCTTGGTTTGTTGGCTGATTTGAACGTGACACTGGTGTTTTCTTGTTTTAACATGGTTGTCCAATGCAGTTTTGCCCTAACCGTGTTTGCTGGGATGTAAACAGCACCACTCTTTGACAACATTGTAGCAACGCTCTAAGAAAGTAGACAACATTGTGACAATGTTGTGTGTTTGCTGGGTACAGAGAAGGTAGCAGAAGGTGGAACATCTGGGGTCGGCTTTAGCCATTCGGAATAATTTTCAATTTTCATTCAGTAATTACTGAAATAAGTTGAACGATTCATTTTCTTATTCAGATCCAGGAGACACAATCTCATCCTCATCCTCTGTCTGGGCCTCCCACCTCAATGGTTATATCCTATTATATTTAATGATTATGTTATTCTAGAGTTCCTCTAGAATAACATAATCATTAAATAGCAGATTTAGCACAATTATCTGTTCACTGCCAATCTAGAGCCACTATGGTGCTCGGTCTCATTCCCCCATCTTGATGTCACTCCCCAAGGGCCCTCAGGCAGCTAAGTAATAAAAAAAGAATTTGGTCCCATCAGCTAATCATGTGGGAAGCAAAGGAAGGAACAGGATGCAACAGAAACGGTACAAATTGATCTAGTCTACTGAAAAACAGGACATTAAGTGTCTCAGGAGAGAGAATAAATTTAGTGGGACTGACTATTAAAAAGAAGGACAATCCCAGGACAACTAGGACAGGTGTCAACTATGAACCCATAGTCCAAAGACTATCTGGTGAGTGATGTCTGTGTCCTGTGATTTCATGTTACGAGCTCCTCTGCTTGTATATTGTAGTGATGTCAGTAAGTTTCCACATTGAGTTCTTCATTGTGTCTGTAGAATGAACTGTAGAATGTGTGTCTTTCAGGAACTGTGAATGAGGTTCACTTTGCTCCCTCCTCGTAGACGAGGGTACTCGCTCACTGTTTTCATCACATCTAGTTGTTCTCCTGCAGGTTAAAACATAAAGATAAATATATACAAATGCAGAGAAAGATAAATATATAAGTATCATGTTTACGAAGCAACACGAGTCTATGATTACTTTCAGTTAGTAGTGCCGTGATTAATTGCTGAATTGTTGTCGTTTTCTCAAAGCACAAACAGCATGACTCTTAGTGCACATAGACCATAATGGACGAATTATCATTTCATTATTTACCTTCAAAAACAAGCTTCATGTTCTGTGGCTTCTTTCCGGCCCAGTCACACGCCTCTTCAAGTAAGACTGAGATCCTCTCCATGGGGAATGTAAAAATTTCTTTGGATTTTCCAGCACAAATCACATAGATGTTTTTCTTGTCTGCATCATCAATGTGATCAGGTTTAACAGAAGAAGGGAAGATCGCATCTGTTCTTTGTCTGACGTCTGAAATAGAGAAGTGTGATTGTTCCATGAGACAAACTCTAAGTAGGAGTTATTTAGTGAAGTGAAAAATGGTTTGTTAACTCTACAAAACTTACCTCCAACTTGAATAAATGAAAGGTTGCCTTCATTTACTGAGCTTGCAGGTGAGCTTGAGTCTTCGGCCTGCTGCACATCTGCCACCTCTGTTGGGTGATGTTCCTGCAGAGCATGTACATTCAGTAGGTGTTCATCATAGAGTGGAACTTTGTGAAATCTTGAGGTTTTTATCAAACCTGCTCATAATCTTTTAGTAAATATAATTAGGCCTAGATTTACTCATGATTAGGACATGGGATTGACATTTAGGCCACTAAAATCAGGATTTCTAATATAAAGTCTCAGTCACCTGTCAAAGCTTTTAAAAAGTTTAAGATTAACTTCTTTACTTCTGTAGTTTCTTTCCCTCAGGTCTCACTTCTGATGATCAAAGATCATTTCACCTACTTTAGGTAAAATAACTATGAGCTCAGCTGTTTGTCGTTTTAATATAATTTACTTGACTTCTTGATTTTTAGCATAGAGTTGTGGTTTCAGCGGTGTACAACAGAGAGAGGAACCATAAGTGAAAGTTTCCAGATAGCTTTCTTGCTGCTGTTTCATCAGATAGTGCCAAGGAAGTTGTGGATGTTGCTTTGAATAAGTGTTTATTTTACATCAAGTTCTTCTTGTCAAGATTCTTGTCAGGATTCATGTCTGCGTCAGTGCCTTTTGTCTCCTCACTTTAAAACATGTTAGGGTGTTTACAAGTGTTTCGTGTTTCTTAACCCTTTAAGTGTATACATTTGTTAATATCATTAATCTAGATTTATCAAGAACTAAGAATGTATTGATATTCCTGTTTCTGTGTATTGTAGCCTTGCTCTATTTCTCTGAAAGCTTCATTGAATGACCTTCTCTGTTTGTCTCAGCACTGTAAATGTTAAAGGGTCTATATAATCGAAAAAAAAACAAATTTTCCCCACTTTTTTAAAATAAAGGGGTTTAGTCCATGTGCCAGTCCACATTTTATCCCCATTTTTGTCTTTTTTCTTTTTGCATAATTTGAAAAAAAAACTCCAGTAACCCTCAGCATTGTGTTAACATTTCAAGAGGAATGAAACAACAGAAATGGGCCAAAATTATTCAGGAAAAAAATCCTGTTACATTGACTTCCATTACAAGTTAAAAATGTTTTTTTCTTCTTCTTTAAATTTCACATTCTGGAGATGCAAGGTTTTGTTTTGACAGAGACGATATGTAAATAAAGCTGCAAGACAGCCTGTTTTGAATTCATTGTTTCTCTGAGCTCACCACACCCAACACATTTACATGGATCTGCCTGCTCTGCCAGTAGCAGTTTAGCTCTACCCATTCACTGAAACCCAAGGAGTGTTTCAGCTCTAAAATAAGATTTAGATTTATGTAAAGGTTATGTGGGCAGCCAATCAGAACAGAGATCATTTACATACATCACTTTCAAAGGTGCAGTAACAAAAACAGCCTGTTTAATTCTCGGGGTTTAAGAGGTTAAAATGGTCTTGTAAAAATGAATTATGAATATTTTTGGTACATAAAACCACACAAATATTATGAGTAATTAATTAAATAATTAAAGTAATAAAGGAAAGTAAGAAAGTGTAGGATATGAACCCTTAAACTCTTAATAATGACATCTAAATCTTACCTAGAATGTCTGCAAAAACTATAAGATACGTATAGGATATATATGTAATAGTATTTGTGTAGAATATTTTACTATAATCAAAGAACAGCTTAATGATTTTAACAGCCTTTAACAGTTTAATTCTAAAAAGAAACTGAATATTGTAAATATACAGAACAGAATTGTGAGACTTATTATATTTTACATACCTCACCGAAGATTAAGCTGTATATGATGCCCATGTTTGTGAATAATCTCTTTCAGCCAAGCGTTGTTCTTCTGAACTTGACAACATGAACAATGAAATCACCTTGGTTGGCTGAAGTGTTTATATATTCCTGCAGTTTCACT